TTTTGACTACAAAAGCCGCATAGTGGGGTCTGAGCTGTGGGTAGCCTCGGACAGCTGTTAGGAAACAGTTCGGCAGAAATGTTGTCATCTGTGTTTCTTGGATACCTCCGCTTGTGTCCATAAACAGGTTTGGACCTTCTTACAAATCCCTAATGAGGCGCTTTCATCGGGTGCTGGTCATCTCGCCCTCACACCATTCCAAGCTTTTCCTGTTTTCGGTCGTTCGGCTCTTTGTTGATCAGGCTTTAAAATGAAATTAAATAAACAATTACAGAAAGAAAAACTATTTTCTTACTCCTAAATATTGTATTTCTGCATGAGGCCAGTCAGACGGAGTTCATAAGCTCAAAGCACTTGAACTAAAATTAGTTTTGGATCTTTTCGCTCGTCGTTATTCAGGTATTTTTATCAGGTGCCTCATGCATTTTCCAGGTGCTATTTTGCCGTTTATGTACTTGACTTTTTTGGAAGAGGAACTGTCTGCCACAGGATCTTTTATAATGACCACGTGCTAATTTTCTCCCCATCTTGTAACAACTTTAACAGCAGAGGAATCAAAGAAAACATCCTCAGTCAACTGTAAAAAAACAAAAAAATGGATAGGCTATGTGACTCCAATAGATATTATCTTCCAGCAGGACGTTGCCCAGAGTTATTTTGGTCCCAGTTATGGTCCTTTCATGCCAGTTTTTTTTTATTTGTGTGCAAAAAGTAACCGTTTTTCCCAGTGTAACTAATTCCCTCCTACTTCGCAATAGAATTGGTTTCTATTCTAAACATGCAACATGTGTCTGCCACATGTTGCAGACACATAATCAGGGGCTTGATGGTAAGATGGTGGGGCACCAGAAGCTGGAAGAAAGAGTCATTACTCAAATACTCATTAAAAGAAAATAAGGTTCTTTTAATGTTGCAATAAACAAAAATGTTAAAGACAAAATAAAAGATAACTTTTCTTTTTGGGGAGCAGAAAGGCAGTTCAGGTTTTGTTCCACCTGTGAACCAAAAGACCTCGCATAGGAACGTGAGGCTCTCTCTAAGACTGAGAGGAAGGTTGTAGGTGCCACCAGAAGGTACTTAATTTTACTGAGACGTCGGTAATCTAGAGTGAGATCCCCCCCAGTTATCCAGGTTGGCACCATAGGATTGGTGTGTATCAGGCAGAGTTAAATTACCTGTAGATAATGGGAAAGGTTTTGCAGTTCTATGGTAGTAGAACAAAAGGCAAGGTTCTGGGGAATTGTCAAATGCCCAAGGAGAAATTTTTGATCAAATTCTAACAGCTTTAAAGATAATTAGAAATCAAATACTGGAAAATTAGCTAAAGTCTTCTTCTTCTCCATAAAAAAAGAAAAAGAAAAAAAATCCTCAAATAAATAAATGTAATCTAACAAAAACTTCCAACTGTTTTTAATATTCTTTTTTTGTTTCTGCATTTTTTATTTTATTTTATTTATTTATTATTTATTTATTATTTTTTTTCCTACTTGCTTTGATTCTGTTTTATCTTCCTGTATTTTAATCATGTAAAGCACTTTGCATTGTCTTTGTACTGAATTGTGCTATACAAATAAATTTGCCTTGCCTAGGCTGCTTGCCCTTTGCAAAGAAGCACTGCAAAAAATTTGAATCTTTACGTCTTTCGTTTTTTTAAATACGTGCATTTTTTCTTGGATTAAAGAGGTAAGTGAGACACTTTGCCAATGGAACAAGACAACGTACATTTAAAATAAGAAAAAACAATTGCATTGTCTTATTTCAAGAGCATTTTATCTAATTATCTTATTTCAAGAGTAAAAATACTCATTCCACTGGCAAATCCTCTTACTTACCTGCTCAAATTAAGGGTAAATACACTTAATTTAAGTAATCTTTACTTATTTATACATTGTTTTTGCAGTGAGGTTGGTCAAGTTTCACGGGAACAACAGGAAACTAAACTCTGCTGGTCAAACCCACAGATGCAAGGACAAAAAAAAATTAGATTTACTTCCTGGAAGCTTCGTTGTTACTGCAAACGGTTTGGGTCATTTTTATTTTATTTATCTTTCAGATTATTGGGTCTACATGAAAAATAATGAAAAATAGAATACAGCAATTTAAATAATAAGGATTTGGTGCATATTATGATCTATGTCTATATTTATTTAAAAATGTTACACTAACAGGAAACCTAAGTTTGCAGAAGTAGTGTGTATGGAGGAGGGGGGGCTTTGTTTAAAGGAGCTAAATGGAGGCAGGATGTGAACAAACAATCTGTTTTCATCAATACTGTCTGCATAGAGTGCTTCCATCTCTGCCTCTCCACCATCGCCCCCTGCTTACCGCTCTAAAGGTTTTACTGGGATACCCCAGGGTAATATGATGCTGTGATAACATGGCAGGGTTCATTTGAAACTGATCCATTTCCCCACTTCAGATAAAGAAAAGTTCCCATAAAATGACACTAATCAGTCGTCTTGTAAATAACCAGATTAAAATTCCATTCCTTTGCCCCAGATAAGCCTCCCTGATTGTTTCCTGTTTACTTTCCACTGACGCTGGTTGTGTGTGAGCCCAATAACCTGCGGGGTGTCAGAGGACGCTTTCTTTTTCCCCCCTGATAAGAGATGTGAAGGGTGGGATGGAAGACGTGGTGGAGCAAAGGAAGAGCTTTGGATTATTCACTGACCCTCAGTGTGTTCTCCAAGTCGCCATGGAACATTTAGCTTTATAAATAGACGCGACTACAGACCTGCCAGCCTGGTGTTCGGCTCCTACAAAGATGGGCTCTTATTCTCAAAGGTTATTAATGATCACTCTGCCCCGGCAACGAGGTGGAGAGGCATGTTGTGGCAAATGAGCAGTGCAGAATGTTCCCTGTCTGGTCACTGGTGTGGGAAGTGGAGGCTTGGCCGTGCCGCGGCTGAGCGGTCACGGTATTAGCAGCAGGGCCGGGCTGGCTGAGGTGGAGGGGGGGATTGTGCAATCGTATTTGCAAACAACACTTGTGCTCTTATTCATAGAGGCCTTTTATTTTTACCTGCTGTGACGTCCAACAAGAGGAAAGCAGCAGAAACAGTGGGCTAAAATTAGCTGGCTTTTAACCATTCAGAATGCTGGTGGGTGCTGCTCTGCTCCATGAATGACCCCCCCCCACACACACACACACCCCCGACACTGTTTTGTTTCTGCTTAAATAACATCTACAGCTAATCTCACATTTATTCACACATTCTATGCTCTTAATTATGCAAAGAAATTCCTTCCTCCATTTTTTTTCTTATTTCTTTGCAAAAGTCTTCAAATCTATGGACTTTTCTTTTTATTTTGCTGCATTACTTGCTTAGTTACACAATTTGCATTTACCTTTACAATAAAAAAAGCAACATGCATCTGTATTCAGCCATTCACACTGCAAAAAATAGAAATCTCAATAAGTTATTTTTTCTGAAAATAAGTGTGTTTTTCCTTGATTTGAGGAGGTAAGTAAGACACTTTGCCAATGGAACAAGACAATTTCCTTTTAAAATAAGAAAAAACTATCGTCTTATTTCAAGTAAATATTCATATATTATGGAATATATTATGGAATACTCATTCCATTGGCAAATCATCTTATTTACCTGCTCAAATTAAGGCTAAATATACTTAATTTAAGCCATTTTTTACTTATTTCTGGATTGTTTTTGCAGTGCAGCACTGCTAAATAAAATCCACTAACTACAGAACAATCTAGATAAGTAATTTTTTCTTAAAATAAGTGCATTTGTTCTTGGATTGAGGAGGTAAAAGAGAGATTTTGCCAAAGAACGAGACAATTTACACCTAAAATAAGAAAACACAATTGTATTGTCTTATTTTAAGAGTATAAAATACTCATTGCATTGGCAAACTATCTAATTTACCTACTCAAATTAAGGGTAAATACACTTAATTTAAGAAATGTTTGCTTATTTCTGGATGTTTTTCCAGTGCAGTTATCCACTCCAACAATTAAACCTTATCTGAAGAGATCCAGACTCAGCAAACAGGTGGAGAGCAAGAGAAGTAGGTTTAATAATGATGGTGGCAGCAGGATGATGCTGAAAAAGTTTCTGTAAATAGAGGAAGTGAAGCTGTTCAGGGTTTGATGGGACGGTGGATGGAGCTGAATGTCAGAATTACTCTAAACATGCAGCCAGAGATATAATGGAGTTCAAATCAAAACAAAGTCGTGTTAGAATGTCTCGGTTAAAGTCCAAACTCAAATCCAGTGGATAATCTATTGCAGGACTTTAAGCTTCATGGTTTTTCCTCCAGTCTGACTCAACTATTAGAAACATAAAACACTCCATACGTTCAGCTGTAACTACAGTGCATGTATTTTCTACTAAATACTGACTCACAGTGGCTGAATACAAATGCAAACAATGCCTCTCAGATATTCATTCATTAAAAGCAGTGTTTTCCTTCTACCTTTAAGCTACTCATTATTCTGTGTCGTTTTACTTTTGCAGAGGCGTTGTTCCCACTTTCTGTAATAAATATGCTTTACTTTCCATCTTTTCTGTGCCGGTGAGCTCCTATGTCTGTGTTGATACGTGTAATTCGGCCTCCTCGCCCCACCAGCTGGTTAATTGTCCCCCTGTCTGCCCCAGTGGTAATGAGAGCGACTCAATACCAGACAAAAGAAGTGGCTTCAGTGGGAGACAGCAGCCCATAGGCTGAGCCTGTGACAGCCCCTTTCCCTGCATGGGCGCCCCCCTGACCAATGCACGCCCAGCCCTCCCTTCCACTCTCTACTCTGCCGCTTGTTTTCTCCCAACTTGCATGCAGGCCAAAACACACGCTTACCCGCCGTCCATGCCAAGCTCCGTCCAGAGAAGCTTAGTAACCCTGGATTCAGAAACACACGGCAGCGAGTGACCGACTGGGAAAAAAAGGAGAATCTAGCCTTGGTTAAGGCTGCTGCTTGTGTTTCAGCGGGAGGAGATCTTCCTGTGGATCTATCAATGACTTCTTTGTTTGGTTTGTTGCAGAGTGCCCCCTCCTTCAGCCCTCTGGAAACAACCTCCGACCTGCAGCAGTAGTAAGTCCACCTATCTCCTCACTATTCCAGTTCATTTGCTTTAAAATCTTGCTTCATCCTTCCTGTATTAATGTGATTATTAGGGAGAAATGTCAGTGAGGGACATCTAGACCCTGTAAAGCCACAGCAGGGGTGGGGACTGCTGCTTCCTGTGGAGATCCTGTTAATAATGCATAAAGCTGCCAGAATTTAATGTTTTTCATGGGTTTTTATTTATATATGGTTTCTAGAAGGAAGGAAATTATATAATGACAGGAGCCTGGGTGTCACTGGGATAAAGGGAACTTTCCAAGCTGCTGCATAACTAAAAAACTGTTATCTTCTCTTGATTGGATTACAACAGATGGATCTAACTCAAATCCAAATCTTACTCAGCTTTTGATCTTTTTTTTTTTCTGATGGGACTGACAGTTTCTATTTCTGTAGCCTGCAATAAAATGCAAGGAATTTAGGGCCCCGGCACGGTAACTGTCTAGAGAAAATAAATGTCTCCCTTCATTTCTGCTCCACATCTGCTGCAGTCATTACGTCTTTGGGGACAAGGGTTTCTAAAATAAACCCCCCCAAACCCAGGTCTTTTTTTTTTGTTCCATTGATTTGTCTGTCATTGGAGAACTTGAAAGGAAGAGATCCTTGATTAAAGGGTGATGGGAGTTTAAGCGCACGAATGTTTGCAACGGAAACCTTTACTCATAAACCGACTTCCCTTCAAGGCCCAAATTTATGGCAGGACGTCTTGTTTTTCCTTTTTTTTTCTCCTCCTCAAGCTTAAATGAAAAGAGAGGGAGAAGACCTGGTAAATAAAGATTGAGCTCAAATGGCAGGAACACAGCATGCTGCTGGCAGAAATAATCTGAAATGGTTTGCGTTGCGATCATGATGAAGCAGAACTGCAGGAAGTGCTTTCCTTGTTCTTTCTCACGCATCGAAACTTCAATAGCAACAAAGGCTATCCAAACCTTTCTGACCCCTTTAAAGTATAAATTAACTGCGATTTACTATATTCATTTCGTTTAGGTTCATTGGAACCTAGAACCTGTCTGACTGCATGAAGTAGGCTAAAGGTTAAATTCAGGAAAAAATTAGGAATGCCTTCTAAAATTCAATTCAATTCAGTTTATTTATATAGCACCAATTCACAAGTCATCTCAAGGCACTTTACAGTTCATCAGATCATCCAGTCAGATTAATTCAAAGTTTTCTATCTAAGGAAAACCAGTTGATTGCATCGACTCATTGACTCAAATGCAATCCCTCACACTAAGCATGCTTGTAGCGACAGTGGAGAGGAAAAACTCCATTTTAACAGGGAGAAAATACAACAAAGGGAGTGTTTTGGAAGCTACAGACACTGGCTTGAAGGGTTTCAGAAAAAGGACACCAGATTGTAGAAGCAGTCAGACACAGTGGTGGTGGTATGATGATCTGGCAATGACATCGTGGTTCAGAACGTATAAACTTGTGTGGATTGATGACACCATGGATTTTGCCCTCTATCCAGAAGAGGGTTATGCAGATTGTTATTTGAATTACCCTGTGGATATTCTGAGGTGGCCTACTTCAAGTTTGGACTTTAATCCAATAAAAAAAATACAGTATGTCTGAATTAATATAATAATAATAATATAGTATCAAAATATATAAAGTACAAAAACACAAGAAAATGTAAAGGAGGAACTTTTTTTGCAGCCAATATGTCTTTTAAAAAGTACTTCCAGCTGTAATGATAGCATCTGCCTGCCCAATTTTAAAATAAAAGGGAGTGTAAAGTCTAATAATGCTAAATATTTTTTAAATAAATCCATTCTAAAGTTGTTTTATCCCTTTGTTATGTCAATATAAGCTCTTGCAGTCAAACAGGCTGAAAGCAGAGAAGTGTGCAGCGTTGAAGCCTAAGTCATACTCCGTTTGGCATTTAGTTTTACTAGAAGCTTCTCAAGGGATTATTTTAAATCTAGCATCACCCTGCAGCCGTAAATCAGCAGCGGGAGCGTTTACGTGAATTCTTGTTGCACACCCAGAGCTAACATGATGCCAGCAGTGCAAATAGTTTCCCCTCTCCATCCGTGAAAGAGCCTGTTGTTGAGGCACGGATGTATCCCTACATCACTTGACGTTTTGAGAGTTTTAAATCATTCGTCTCAAAGCTGCCGGAGCCTTTTGCTGTAATGAAGACAGAGAAAATGCATGAGTAACACATGACGGGATGAAGCTGGTAGCTATGCAGGTACATAGCAAGGGGCTGATGAACCCAGTGGGAATGTTGAGGGAATATTTATAGAAATCTGTCCTGTTGGCCTCCCTGGAATGCCAGTATATCTCTCGTAGCTAGTGTCTTCTCTAGCATCTCAGCTTTGGCTCTTTCCCACTCTAATTGCGGCGTGTCCCACAAGTATGTGAAAACAGAATACAGCCCAGGATCCCCTTAATGAGGCCCATATGACAGCTCGTTACCCGCTAGGGCTGCCCTCCGTTTATGAAAAGAAAGACACATATCCACGCAGCTCCTAATGAGTCTGGCTGTACTAAATTAGCTTTTATCCCTCTTCCTCCAATTTGTGGTCCAGCTCCTCAAGCAAGTCTGGGCACAACGAGGTGGAGAAGGACAGAGGATCATCAACGGGTGAGCCTGGGGCTCCAGAATGCGACCGACATGTTTACAAGACCGTCCTGGAGGGCGGTGACATTCCCTTACAAGGTCTGCGGGCTCTAAACAAGCACCATGGAAGCTCTTCCTCCTCTAAAGGTAGGATGCCAGCTATCATATGTCCCATAACATGAAGCCTGGATGTATATGGACGCATGGGGTCGGGGCAGACGGCACCCCAGGGTTGTTACGGCTTCTAAAACCGAGCTGCAGATGTTGGAATCTGTTGAAATTTCCAGACAGGGATGCATGTGTTTCTCTCTACCTCTCCACTTTAACACACATGGTGTCTCTGCTCTGGAATTGCCCCGCATCGGCCAATCACCTCGCAGCATTCATCGCCCCTACAAGCAGCTTTGGATTTGACGCTTACAGCTGCATTTCTAAAAATTAGAAAACAATCAACAAGGTTGAGTTATTTCAGTAATTAGGCACATAAAATTATATTTGACATAAAGGAAAAAAATATATTTATTTTATAAATTCATATTGAAAATCATTTGCTCTATCTGAAGATATTTGTAGAAAGTTAAGTGGAAGGAAAAAGTAACTTAAAGCACACAAGCAACCAAAATAAACTCCACCTTTAAAGTAGGGGTGCACCGATTGCAGTTTTCCGGCCGATTTCCGATCACCGATCTTCAAAAAGTCTGACCTGCCGACTCAGATTTTATTATTTTTTTTGCTATAACCAACACTTTGTTACAAGATCGCAATTCACTGTCAATGTTACAATCTTTTCTTGAAAAGCATGCCCTTGAACAATAGCCTTGAACCATTATAAACTTGTTTTAACTGCCCGAGAGGTAGAGCCTTGAAATAGAAATGAATTAAATAATAAATATTAAATAAAACAAACTTAAGACTACAACATTGGTCTTTTGATTTTTTTACATTTCAAAAAACAAAACTTCAACAAAAGATCAGAAAAAATATGGAATAGCAACTGATTTTAAGACACTCGCGGAGGTAAATAGATCGGTAGTTAAGATCGGTTTCATATGTAAATATCGGCCGATCACCAATCACCCTAAATTAGGGAAATCGGGGCTGATCGATCGGCCGGCCGATTTATCGGTGCACCCCTACTTTAAAGGATGTTGGACCAAAGCTTATTCCATACCAGCTAATGCTTTTAGTTTTCAATATTTCCTTTAATTATTGTATGAGACCCATAAAGAGGAATTTTAACACTGGATGATTATTAGAGTTAAGTTAGAGGAGAGGATTAAAGGTTGTTTTGATGAGGCCTCACTAGCCTGAAAGGTTGATTCACCATATTGATTTCAGTGTGATAGAAATGCTCTTTATGTTGTAGTTAGTTGAATGTCTGGTGAAACCCAGACCGAGGAATAAGCTGCTGTTAGACTGTAGACAGAGAACTGACTTTAACACATGCATATCTGCAGACTCTGCTGTACAGCATGTGTACATAAAATGTGTTAGCCGCTCTTTCTGAAAGATACTCTCCGTAAAATGAATTTATCTCCTCTAAAACTGATCTGGTCGTTGCTATTCTGGCATGGGACTCCATAAAAATGGTGATAAATCATCACAAACTGGGAAAACTTTACATTGGACCTCAAGCAACTTGGACTCTGTGCTTCTCCGCCTTTTAAATGAAATAAAGGTTCACTCAGTTAGCACTTTACTGCTAATATTACCCCTCTGGTTCTCTCTCTAGTTTTAGAAGTAGCTCAACACAAAGAATGTCACAGTTGGAGGATGCTGATGAAGGTTCTCAGTCATCCAAGTCATAGTCATTCCGTAAAAATTCAAAAAATATCCACTGGACTTGGTTTTCAAGATTTGAAGACGTTTCGCCACCTCTCCAAGAAGCTTTCTCAATTCTCAATGAATGAGAAAGCTTCCTGGAGAGGTGGCGAAACGTCTTCAAATCTTGAAAACCAAGTCCAGTGGATATTTTTTGAATTTTTACGGAACAGTTGGAGGATGTGTTTGGAATCTAATGGCAACTTGTTGCAGAGTTTCAATGTATATCAGTAAGGAAAAATGAGCTCAGAGCAACAAACTGAACTACATCAGACATCCCAAGTCTCCCTGATATAGATAGTTGTCAGTGATGGGCAGTAGCGCCGCTACATGTAGCGAAGCTATTAGTTTAACTACATTTTCCAGTAGCTTCACCGTAGCGTCGCTGCTTTGTTTATCAAGTAACTTTCCTGTAGCGACGTTATTGTTTTGATCAAGTAGCGACGCAGCGTCCACAAACGCTACAAAATCCAGGGCAAAACTTAGAAATGCAACCAGGTTTTCTATTTTGAAACAACAATCAGCCACAAGCTACTGTAAATAGCAGTTTCAGCTGACGCTCTTATAAGTGGCGTAGTAGCGGAGGCACACTCAGTAGAGTTAAACATGCGCACCCTTTCCGAGGCTGTCGTTCTATTGGCTGGAAAGGTTGCTAGGCAACGATCCAACTGCAGTCTGAGAGAGCAAAACAAATCCGCAAGCAGAGCCTACGGGTTTGCGAGCGTAACAGAGCGCGGTTTGTGCGCGAAGAAAAGGAGGCAAGCGAGAGGAGAAAATATCTGTGCAAGAAGGATTAAATCTGAGAGAAGAAACACAGAGAGAAGAGAAAATATTTGAGAGAGAGCGCATGTTTTGAGTGTGAGCATTATAAGTTTTGAGAGCAAGAAGATGAAATTCTTTTCTCAAATTGAAATGATGTGCTCTTGCATTATGGCAGGATAATTCTCCCATATCTATGTGCCACTAAGATACTCTAATTAGAGAGCAGTAGTGAAACTTCCATATTGTCTTTTCATGGCCTAGGTTACCTGACAGGATGTTTACATAAATCTGTTTTTAGGCTTTGCACAGACAAGATGTTTTTATTTATGGAGGAACAGCTCTACCGTATATAAAATAAATACATAAATAAATAAATGCTCAATAAATAAATAAATAAGCATTCAATTAATTGCCTCCAAAAATACAATGAATAAATATGTAGGTAGAAATTAAATTAAATGGTGAGACATATATATATGTATCTCTTAATTAGCTTCTTTATTTTTTTACCTTCTTTGGTAAACAGTTTTGTTTGTTACTTGAATCAACTGTTTAATTGAGGTCTTTTGTAGGGTTTTGTTTTCCCTAGAGATGTCCATTGAATGCAAACTCATAGCCATGTCTCGGTGTGTAGAACACTACACAGTACCTTTAATTTGGTTCTAATAACAGCAGATTGTTTACTAGTTTGTCTACTAGTAATTACTTTAGTTTTTATTTTAATATGCTGATCATAAAGCAATGTTTACACTGTGATATGTCATTGGCTGATCTTTAATAAATATTTTAACCAGTGCATCAGACTCATTTTGAATTGACATTAGGTTGGTACAACGTTAAGTAGCTTCTGATGTAGTTAAGCTACTTTGAACACATTAGTGTAACTTAGCTTGCTATAATTCTTTAGGTGGTAGCTGTTGTGTAGTGAAGCTTAATTTGTTGTTGAGTAGCTGATAGCTTAGCTCACTACACTGGACAAGTAGCTTGCCCAACACTGATAGTTGTTCACAGACGCCCGCAAGTCGGATAAATTATCCCGTATTTTAGACTATGCAAGGTGGTGTTTGTTTAATGCGAGTGAGAGTGTGCAGGCACTGCAATAATCTGTGCAGTACTTCGATTGTGCAGGCACAACAAGAGAGAGCAGGTTTGTGGAACATGTGCGTATCTGTTCAAAGTGATGCTCTGTTAAACAAGTGTCCCATGCGACTGGTTGTCAGTGATTGGATTAGTCAGAAAAATAAGCCAAAAAGTTTCGGTTTACTCCCTGACAGTCACCTAGTTACCACTCAAAGCTTTGCATCCTGTGAAATAGGTTGAATCCTCCAATAAAAAAACGAAAATATAAGAATCATTTTACAGCAGAATATACTAAAGTAAGCATTTTGGAACTTTGGATGTTTTCTACACGCTACAGTGAAAGAAAAACTTGGACAGCTGCAGACTCTAATACTCTAAATTTCTTATGAATGCATCCCCGATGCGCATGCACTTTTTTCCTTCCACTCACCTTTTTTTTACTTTGCTATTATAAAGCACAATGCAAAACAGCAAGCATCTTCAGCATGAGCCTTAAGATCCTTCACTTCTGAATGTCAATGCCAAGTTAGCAGAAGTTTTCCTAATAATTATGTAGCATAAAGTAACACTTCTATCTCCTTTTATAGCCTTATCTTTAATAGTCATATTGTAGCTTTTAGACTTACCTTTGGTTCTCTTAAACTGGGTTTTCTTCACAGTCCTCTCAAAGCTCTGTTTATCTCTGATCTGCAGTTTTTCCTTCCACTTAACTTTTATCTCAACATGCTTAGACACAGCTCTGAATTGCTAGCCTTTTTATCATTGAGCTGTTGTTTGTGGAAGGTGCCACTGACCCTCCGCCGGACAAATGTCAAGCCAGATTCATGTGTTGAAATCGAGTTACTGAGATAAATTAACCTTCCAATAACGTCCCACTTTATTTAGATGCACCTGTAAATCTTTTCATGTGCTTCGGAAAACTCATGGAGGGTTTGAAGTTGTCTTGTTAAGTCGATGAAATCTAACCTTGTGGATTCATTCCTCCCTTCCAGCCCCAGCTGTTAGTTAGCAGTCTCCAGGCAGGCTTAGGGCAAAACTTCAGAGCGTTTTAGAGCCAGGGAGCACAGAGGGTATGGATGAGGAGGTACTAGTGAGATAAACAGAGCTGTGAGATAAACAGGAGGGGACACAGAGGGTGGGCAGGCATGAGGAAGTCAGCTGTCAGTGTGGGGTCAGGAGCTGGAATGCCAGAGCAGAGAGGAGATACAAGGAGGGGACACTTTGACCCAATGTACCGAGCAGAGTAAACATGCACTTTTAAAGCTGGGCATTTTAAATGGCAGTTATAATCCGGATGCAGAAAAAAGAAGATTCTGATAATAGATATGCAACTATGCTGTTTGAAAATCACCCATCCAGTCAACTGACTAACATGCTTCTCTCTGAACTCCTGCCTGAGGCCCCCACCACCACCTTAGTCATTTGAGTCACTCACTGTTCATGAAACAGAAAAAAAAACAAGCCCAAAGAAAGTAAGAAACCGAGCCCTTCATCATGTGTTTTAGTCTTATGCCCACAAAACAGAAGAAAAAAAAATATCTTTGTTTACAAAGATAAAAACTGACTCTCCAGTTGGGCTGTTTCCATGGCCAGGGTAGTGACTCTTTACTCGCCATATGCCATGAATAAAACTCAGAATCATCCTCCTCGGGGTGTGTTTTCCTGACGGATTTGAATGTGGCGGATCGGTCAGCCTCGCAGCATGTGAAAGTGTTGTGTCATTTCCCTGCACCATCTGGGCTGCAGTCACGAGCCTGCTCTCACCAGGAACCGACAACTAGAAGATGATTGTCTCGGGATTTATTTTTAATTTAGAAACTAGTAGGGAAACGGCGTAATGACAGCCTCGCCTACAGATTCTGCAAAAATCAAACAATGGAAAGTTTTTGCGTAGGAGGTTAATGCAACATTCAGTGTTTTGCAGAAGTATTTAGAAAGTTTAACTTTGCCACAGTTGGCCACATTTTAACTAGAAACTTTTTTGTATGCTGGTGGGATTCTATGTTTTAGGCCAAAATACAGCAGCACAGAGCTGTGAAGTGGAAGAAAAAACACCCATGGTTATAAAAACATCACTTTTTTTTAGACTTTCTTTCCACAGTTGGCTTTTTTCTTCCTTATCTGTTAGGGAAATCCTGATATAATAGGGATATCTAAATTAGCCCGATCTCTGATAAATCTCTGTTCCAGCATTTCTATCTAGCAGACTTGAATCCTGCACTCAGAGCCGACGTGACCTGCTAGCAGAGTAGCAGATGAATTGGGGCGATGTCAGCAGCATGGCTGTACATTTGGGTAAAGTCCAAAAAAAAAAAGTTGCAGCTGAGGGAAAAATTTGTCATGCATAAGCATTGATAAGAGAAACAGACCCATGTTTAATCTCTAGGAGCTGTAAAGAACCCAAGGTCAGGTAGAAAACTCTGCAGACTGGACAAATATCAGCCATAGAGTCCAAAAATCAATCCTTTGTGGAAGAGACCACCCTGATAAGGAAGTTCTGTTTACTACAAACCATGCAGAGGATGCAGCAAAGGTAGAACAAGTTGCTTCATACGTATTTGTGAAGCATTTCACAACTGCTCAGTATTTTGTGCCGCTCAGTCGCATAAAATCCCCCTTAAAATACGCTGAACTTTGTGGTTTATGCAAGACTTTTAAATAAGATTAGTTGAAGAACAAGGGACTAGTTTTAGCTCTTCTGAAATAACCTCCAACATCACATAACATTTCATGGCATCTAGCTGTTTTAATGCTGTCTGCACCCTCGCCGTGTTGATGAAACAGGTTGCTGTCAGATTGCTCCATTTTTTTAGGAAACATCGCCATGCAGTTTCATGCTGTTAGTTCGACAGTCATCTCTGCTTGATGCGCAGGGCATCAAGTCAGCTTCCTCTCATCCACCTTCGATGGAATTTGGTTTTGAACTTAGAAATGTGGCTAACTGTTTTAGTGTGTACGTGTGTAATCTTGTGATCATTGTAATCTAACATGTTGTTTATTCTGTTGTCCTGCATGCTTGCCAGTGGATTATAAAGGTGGGAATGGCTATATAATTTCACCCTGCTCCTCTGTAAATAGTCGAACGGTTCTTGCCAGTAATGCAATAGGTGACCAGTGTAAGAGTAAGAAGCCTCTATCTGCTGCCAAAGCCTGCATACCGCAGATCCTGCCCTCTAAGTTCAAGCCTAAGCTGCTGCCACCCAGTGGTGACAATCAGGACAGCAGGACTGATGCTGTCAGGCAGCCTAAGGCCCACAGCTGTGAGGAGATCTACACAGGGTGCTGTAATGAAGCAGAGGAAGAGGAGGGCGCTCAACTATCAGATAGTGGTGCTGAGTGCAGGGATGGCCTCAGAGGTGTCTTCCCTGCCATCCGGAGGAGCGCATCTGAGTTCTCCAGCCTGTACAGGTCCATGCATCACATCCAGAGGCCCAGCTCTGTCGGCTGCAGCCCCCAAGGCAGCGTCCGCAGTCTGACCTCTCTGTTTGAGAAGGCGAAGGGTGACGGCGAGAGGTCGGAGGCGGTGGACGGCGGGAGCGTTCGACGGGACAACGTGTCGTCTCGGGTCAGTGAGTTCGAAATGATTATTCAGCGGTCCAGCTCTGCTCCCAGCCGCTCTTCCTCCCTGCCCACCCTGCACTCCAGCCAAAACCACAGCCCCAGCCACAGCCCCTCCCCTCCCTGCATGGCGTCTGCAGTCTCAGCCGAGGCCCTTCTGGTGGCTAACGCCACAAAGACGGATGTTTGCTCTCTGGTGGAGGCAGAGGGCCACGACTTAAGAACCTCATCAGCGGGGAACTGTACAGTGGATAAAGCTGCCTCCTCCTCAGGGGACGGACATGACGACAGGACAGAGTCCCCCTGTAACACTGAGGCTGAAGTAGAGCAGATCTTTAATAAAAATCCACAAGAATGTGTCCACCAAAGTGCCAGTGAATCAAAAACTCCGCCTGCATCCCCTCACCAGCAGAACCATCTGCAGCACCATCACCACCACCTCCTGCACCACTTAAACCATCAACTGCTTCTCAAGCCCAGTAAATGCAAAGGCTCCTGCCCAGCCTCCTACACCCGCTTCACCACTATCCTCCGTCACGAGAGGCAGCAGGCCACGGTTCAGCAGGAGAAGCCGGCAGCTGCAGAGAAGAAGGCCATGCTGCCCGGAAACCTCTTCCTCATGGTCCCAGCCCCCTTCAGGTTACGGAAGAACCTACAGTCTCACCAAACCCGAAGGACACTGTTAGCCACCAAGGTGACCCCCGGCCCCCAGAAGCCCCCCAGTCTGTCGCCGGAACCCAGACCCTTCATCCCCCTGCGGCTCTCCTCCCTGGAGGTCCTGGAGAAGCTGAGTAACGAGGAGGGCGGCGGGACGGAGCGGCTGAGTAACGGGCAGGTCTTCGACGCCAACGGGAACCTACTGCAGCCGCTGGCAGCTCACCACAGAGGTTGCTAACTCCATCCCTTTCACTGCTGTCACCCTCTCCCTCTGTGGTCTCTCATTGATCTTCACCTCGTGTCCCTTTTTTCTCCACAAAGCAACGCCACCGTCCTCCATTTCTAGTCTGTGTGGTGTGTTTAAGTGACAGGGAATAGTCCATCTCATTCTGAGTGTGCTGTTTGGAGCTCTTCCATTTTCACTGTGAATGAGTTCACTCATCCAAACACCTCACTGACTTTAGGAGGTTCAGGAAGCCTTTGGTAATGTAAATATACCCTCTGGACCTCAGACTAGAGTTGTATGCATGAGGCTGCGAAAGCATTACATCGATACAAGTTGTAGTTTGTATTTTATTACATTCCCAAGATGATGTAATGTTGAAGCCATACATTTTGGTACATTTCTCACAAATGCCTGGCTTTAATTGATAAACAATTCCCTGAGGTTCATCTGAAAAGTAAAAGCCAAACATTCAGTTAAATAGTGGATATAAAAAGTCTGCACAAGCTGCTGGGATGCCCTTTTCTTCAACTATGACTCAGACTCAAAAATGAATAATGAAACACAGCTGCACCACTGGTGAAGTGGCTGATTGGCGGACTACACCTACTAGCATTCAAAAGGACTCTAACTGACCTGAAATAAAAGCTCTGAGCTTTCCTCAGAGGAACAAGTTTATCATTCAGGAGAAGGGCCTGAAAGAATGACCGCACATTTAGAAATACCATGAAGCAAATTGACGAGTCATCATCAAGTGGAGAAATAATGGTTACCAGGACCTGGAGTTCCCTTTCAAAATTAAACACATTTTTAAATGCATAGCTGGTATTTTATATAAATACCTGCAGTTTTTTATACAAAATACAAGCTTTGCATTTACAAATTTGGTATCCATTTTAGCCCTATGTGTGGACAAGTTAGTTGAAAAAACATTTTTTCAGCGTGCCTTCTACAAAAATCACAAGTACATCACTAAAACAACACAATGCCCACAATAAAGCACGGCGGTGGCAGCATCATGCTTTTTAAGCTTATGTATCGGCCTTAGTCAAGGTATGAACTGGGACTGAAACAATTAATCATGATTAATCGATTATTGAAATAATCATTAACTTATTTAGTGATAAATTAATTGTTACCTGGAGTATTGAATCTATTATTTGGCTTTGTTTCATGATACAAAGAGAACATTTAAAAGAGTGGGTTTTACTTCTATTTACTGCTGCACAATTCCATATATCTTCAAAATAAAAATAAAAAGTATAAATCCACATATAACAGACATATTTAGACTATATTCTGTTAAATCGGCACAGATTTACCTACTGTCTTAGTCGCTGGTAATTTTTTAAATTCAAACCTTTTCAAAGTGGACAAAATTTCTAATTCCTCACTCATCAGAACCAGTTAAGCTTCAGACATTGATAAACAGCATCTAGTGTGTGTATTACTTATAAAATTTGTATAAATGTAGCAAGAAATGCTGATTTTCTCTTTAAACGAAATATACCCTTGATTTTCCCGTCAAGCATAAAAAAACGTACATGCCTATTTTTGCATAGAACCAATTACATCAGACCAATAGTGTCCCTACTAAAGTTGAAATCAAACCTACGCCCTTGATTGATTAATCAAAAAAATAAAACACAGATTAATCGATTTGATAAAAAACCATTAGTTGCAGCCCTAGTATGAACAGACACGCGTTACTGTCTATGTTGGTTAACACAACAGAACTAAACTAAAATAACTTCATTACTTAAAGCAGGTAAAATAACGTCTTCATTCCTGCACGCCCAGCCTGGAATTAGTTTAAATGAGCGACGCTCAGGAGATTCCAGCATAATTTGACTGATTTGATGGGATGTTGCAGAGAAGATCGGGGCAAATATTGCCAAGTCAAAATATGCCTTATCGATAAACTTAAACTAAAGACTGATTGCTGTATTCAATTCCAAAAGCATTCGTTTTATTGTAACTATGTCACTCCAAATGATGAAAAAAATGAAAATTTTTACATCTATGCATAACAGCAGAAATCTGGAGACTTTTTATACCCTCTACAACATCACATACGATGCATCTTCTCTTGTTTTTTCTTCCATGGGTTTTCTCTGTTGGTCATCCATCTCTGCTTCCCAAACAGATATTTTCTGTTTGGACATCAGTGGATGTTTAATGTGCTCCTTGGTTGGATTCAGTCAAACATCTATGATGTCACAGGGACAAATGAATCAAATGAATGGAAACCTTTATAAAATTTCAGATGCTGGTTGGTCCGTCACCATCAAAACTCCCATGATGCAATGTTGTTTTTTCATTTTTTTTACTGCAGGTTATGCTACGTTTTGTATTTCTTCTTAATTTTGCATTTCCATTCTCATATGCATGCAGATACCTACCTGTTTGTTTTGGAGTGTTCTTTATGTTTTTTGTCATTCAATTTATGCATGCTTATGATTGTATTTCTTTTAATTCAGTTGACTGGAATTGCAGAGTTGAGAGCAATATCACACCTTTTGTTTAAAAGTGTTTATTCACCATAAAGTTGGCAGTAAAATAATTTTGTTATTTCTCTCAGACTCCTCCCCAGCACCCGAGGAAAGCCAGGATGAAGTGTTGAGGAAGCGTCATGGAGACAAAGAGGTAATTTATCTAAATGTCCAAAAACTTATTTTGGAATTTAACCTCTGTCCAGATGAGGCGGCGGAATCTTTCATGCAGAGGAACTTCATACGTGTGTCTGGTTTCCTGACAGAAAATCCTGGAAGAGCAGCGGAGGCTGAAGCGGGAACAGGAAGAGGCCGACATCGCGGCTAGGAGACACACGGGCATCGTTCCAACGCACCACCAGTTCATCACCAACGAGCGCTTCGGAGACCTGCTCAACATCACAGATAACGCCGAAAAGAGGAAATCAGGCATCGAGGTAACAGGCAGGGCCGAAATCTTATTGCCTCTGTAGGCAGGAAGGGAGACGGAAATGAGAGATGAGGGACTCATCTAACTCTAAAGTTACGTTTAACATTAAATATGTGGTATATATATTATATCATTAAAGCGTTTTTGGAAATAATTGTTTTTAGCAAATGTTTTCAACAAATCTTATAAGAAGCAATGTAACTGATGCACTTTTTAAATCTAAAGTAAACCTTTAATTTTACTCGGATTTATCTTATTTGCTGCAGAATAAAAGTGACACAGAGGAACTTTTATTTCAAACATTATTGAAATTAAAGAGCATATCATTTAAGCAGAATTACTGTAGATGTATAATTACAAATATATATATATATATATACTCTACCATTCAAAAGTTTGGTGTCACATAGAAATGTCCTTATTTTTTGAAGGAGAACCACTGTACTCTTCAATGAAGATAACTTTAAACTAGTCTGAACTTCAATCAGAAGACAGCACAAACAGGCTCTAACCAGAGTAGAAAAAGAAGTGGGAGACCGCGTTGCACAACTGATCAAGAAGATAAATACATTAGAGTCTCTAGTTTGAGAAACAGACGCCTCACAGGTCCCCAACTGGCATCTTCATTAAATAGTACCCGCAGTAGCCTGTTTGTGCTGTCCTCTGAAGGGAGTAGTACACACGGTTGTAGGAAATCTTTAATTTCTTACCAATTTTTCGCATGGATTCGCCTTCATTTCTAAGAACAAGAATAGACGGTCGAGTTTCAGTTTAAAGTTCTCTTTTTCTGGCCATTTTAACGTTTAATTGACTCCACAAATGTGATGCTTCAGAAACTCAATCTGCTCAAAGGAAGGCCAGTTTTGTAGCTTCTGTAACGAGCTAAACTGTTTTCAGATGTGTGAACATGATTGCACAAGGGTTTTCTAATCATCAATTAGCCTTCTGAGCCAATGAGCAATCACATTGTACCATTAGAACACTGGAGAGATAGTTGCTGGGGCTCTATACACCTATGTAGATATTGCACCAAAAACCAGACATTTGCAGCTAGAATAGTCATTTACCACATTAGCAATGTATAGAGTGTATTTCTTTAAAGTTAAGACTAGTTTAAAGTTATCTTCATTGAAAAGTACAGTGCTTTTTCTTCAAAAATAAGGACATTTCAATGTGACCTCAAACTTTTGAACGGTAGTGTATACAAATATATATATACTACTAAAGATATGCTAAAGCTCCTTATGCCCTCTGTTAGGTGTTTTAGAGGTTCTGTGATGCTGTGGGCTAATTTCTCATCCCAAGGCCCTTGGATTCTTGTTACAGTACATGGCTTCATGACCTTTTCTAAAAATGTCAGGATATTTTAAATGATTATTTAAAGACCTCTGCAGATAAAACCTGAAAACGGTTCAGAAGACTGAAAACAAACCTCTTTAATAAACGCTATTTCTGACATATTGAATTGAAAAAGCTTCCTGGATGGAACCGAAGCGTCATCAAACTTGGAAACGAAGTCCAGTGAATTTGTTTTTTTTTACTTTTTTGGAAGGACTCTATCCCTAGGCATAATTCTATAGACCACCCAGCACTTTGGATCAGAACCGCTCTCCTTTCGGAGCTCAGCTGTCTAATTATTAATTATTGTTCCTGAAGCATTGGTTGCACAAACTAGAGGGTTGGCCAACAGACTACAGAATATCTAAATGAAATGTTGAAATAGTTCAAGGTTTGATGATGCCGTTAGCATAACCATAATAACAGTTATTACAGATTTGTTTTTCCTTTCTACACAGAGAACTCCAGCCATGGCACGCTTTGACTTCAGGGCAGAAACCCTAAAGTAAGCGAAAATAATCCAAATCATAATAATAACCTGTGTGTTTAACTTCATTCCTACAACAATTTGATTTATCTGGCTGTGGCGGGTATTTTTTTTTTATTTAGGGAATTACCGTTTCAGAAGGGGGATATTGTGTACATTATCCGACAAGTCGATCAGAACTGGTATGAAGGCGAACATCACGGAAGAGTTGGAATTTTCCCCAGAAGTTACGTGGAGGTTGGTTCATTCCGCTTTATTTTATTCCTCGTCGGCTCTGATTAACTATTGTACAATAAATCGGTGTGTCACTTTAAAATCCAGGTGGAGCACATCATTCCGCAGTTTATTCATGTTCATTTTATATGTTTTTTTTTAAACCCAAAATAGTTTTTCTTAGAGAATCTCAGCAGGCTATACCCAGAAATATGAAATTTATTGTTAATACAGAAATGTAAGTCTACTGAAAGCTGTGTCCATTAACTATGTATGAATGACTGGGATTGTCCCTGTTTTTTATTGTTCTCTGCACTTTTTCCTTCCACTCAACTTTCCATTAATATGCCTAAATCGATCACTCTTAAAAAGGCCAGCTTTCACACCTTGGAGAGGATTTCTGCTGAACAGCTATAAATCAAAAGTCTTCCTCATTGTTTAGCACAAAATAAGAAATTTCTCTTAATTAAATTAACAAAAATTCATTTTCAATAAATAAGCTTCTGCAATGAAGAGAATTCAACTTTTTCAGTTCTTCTAATTAATTACAACGCTTGTTTATATTTGAAGCAACCTGCTTCTTGTACCTGAATGATAATGAAGGTTTTAAATAAACTGTTAGTCAAACTAAGAGGCTTATTTTATTGCCCTGCTGTCATTGTTTCTGTTGTGCAGCTCCTCCCTCTGACAGAGAAAGCCCAGCCAAAGAAAAGCGCCCCGGTCCAGGTACTGGAATACGGAGAGGCAGTCGCCCGCTTTAACTTCAAAGGAGACACAGTGGTGGAGATGTCCTTCAGGAAGGTACTTCACTCCTCTTTAGTTGCTTTTTTAAACAAGTCGGCTGTGTTTTGCGTGTTTTCTGACCCCGTCATGTGTTTCTGCAGGGTGAACGTATCACGTTGATCCGCAGAGTGGATGAGAACTGGTACGAGGGTAAAATCTCCGGCACTAATCGGCAGGGCATCTTCCCCGTCACCTACGTGGACGTCCACAAACGGCCGCGAGTCAAAAACGGGGTGGACTACCCGGATCCTCCGGTCAGCCACTCGCCGCAGCGCAGCACCAACGCTTCCCCTCAGGTGAGGCACGGTGGAGGTAGAGGCAGCATACGGAGTGCATAAATGATGATGTCCCTTCATGTCTGTTCACTTCATTGCTCTTTGTGGGGAATTTGTTTCATCCTTTCTCTCCTTTTTCCTTCTATCCCATCCTCATCCCGCTGTGCTGTAAAGCTCTATCGTAACCGTCTGACTACCTCCCCCCTGCCTCTCCCTCGCTCCCCCCGTCGATCCGTGTCCCCTGAGGTCCACGCTGTCTCCTCTGAGTGGATCTCTCTGACCGTGGGAGGTGGGAGCCCTCCCGCTGCCCCGACCCCTCCCCTGCCGCCGCTGCCCAGCGTGTCCTACCGCTGGGGCGAGTACCTGCCTCCACCTTACTCTGCCAGCCCCGTGCCCAATGTCACCGGCAGCCCGTATTGTATCTCCCCCATGGCTTCCCCATCGGCCTCCCCTCTGCCCCCACCGTACCCACCGAGGCCCAGCTCAGCCACTCCCTTCCTCACTTTCACTCCACCTCAGGGGGAGGGCTTCCTGCTCCACTCTTCCTCCCCTCACCTCTCGCGCAGCGTGAGCCCGAGCAGCGGGCCGGTGCTGGAGGGCTGGCTGAGGGGGGAGAAGGAGCTGACGGAGGGGGAGAGCACTGAGGGGGACAGGGGTCGCGCCGCCCTGGGCAGCAGACACAATAGCCCTGCAGAGGTATCTTCTGCATGGTGTGCGGTGTTCACTCTGGAAAAAATGTTTCCGGGTCACTGTTTGTTTCTAGACTAGCTGTTCTGATGAGTTCATGTCAATCTTATTCTAAATGGGTGCAATTAACTTATACAATGCCTTGCAAAAGTTTTCATACCTTTAATACTTTCACTTTTTTTGACATTACAACTAAAGACTTTCATGCATTTTTCTGAGATCAGATTTGAAAAATTAACATGAATTAGAGTATATTTAAAAAGTGGATAAAAAAAGATCCAAGAGGATAAATATTTATAATTATCTCACGGCAAAAAATTAAAATCTAGATAAGTCTTTTTTTTCTTTAAATAAGGGCATTTGTTCTTGAATTGAGGAGGTAAAAAAGCAATTTTGTCAATGGAACAAGACAATTTACACTTAAAATAAGAAACCACAATTGCATTTCTTATTTCAAGTGCATATTATCTAATTATCTTATTTTAAGAGTAAAATTACTCCTTTACCTACTCAAATTAAGGATGAATACACTTAATTTAAGAAATGTTTACTTATTTTTAGATCGTTTTTGCAGTGTCTGATGCAATAAACCAATGACCTGCCTTCAAATATAAAGCAATACCCTGAAAACTGATTTTCACAGATGGCTTCCATACAGTTTGATTGAACTTTAGCTGTTTTGCAAAAAGAAAACTAGTTAAATATGGGTGTGTAGAAGTCCAAAGTCCTTAATATTAAAATTCTTATTGCTGTAATCGCACCTAAGGCTGATTCCACTACTTATTTGCTTAAAGGAGACTGAAGATAAATGCATGCCGCACATTTCTGATTCCTTTGTTCTTGTTAGAAAAAAAACTTTAACAAGAATTCTTATTTTTTCTCTGTTGGTCTATCTCATCAAAACTCGTATTAAAATACATACAATTCTGGGATTGTCATGTGAAAAGAATCTATACAAACAAAAACAAAGGGTGTGAAAATTTTTATAAGGCTCTGTTGGTTTGACCAAGAGTTAAAGATCTGCTGGAGTTGTAAAAGAACAAGGATGTTGCTCACGGTCTGCAAGCCTGCATGCTGTTGTGTGCACTACTAACATGGAGTGGTTTTACAGTGTTTGTGTGTGGCAGACTTTATGGAGAGGAATGGTTCCAATTTCTGACACAGTGCTTAAACAGAACATGGATAACAGTTCGGATCATTTGAGGCAGCTTTCCAAGAAGACATGGCAGCTCTTTCTAATATAAATAGATTTTTTTTCTAATGATGGACTGATGCTAACAGAACCTGCTAACCAGCTCCTGTGCTTTCTAATGTTGTCTCGACCAGGACAGGCCTTTTGTTTTACTGTCTATATCATCACAGATGATACTAAGTTTGCATTTACAGAACAGATCTGCTTCTAATGTCGCTTATCTTATTATCCTGACGTTACTTTATGCTCTTCCATGCAAAGCTACCATTGGATGTTGGAGGTTTATGCAAAACATAGTCTGCTGGTGACCATTTTTAGGTGTCATTAACGGAATTCTGTTACCACACTTGAAAAAAATCAAAATCTAGAGAAGTCATTTTTTCTTAAAATAAGCCTATTTGTTCTTGAATTGAAAAGGTAAAAGAGACATTTTGCCAATGGGACAAGACAATTTACATTTAAAATAAGAAAACACAATTGTAATTCCTTATTTCAAGTGCATTTTATCTAAATATCTTATTTAAAGAGTTAAAATACTCATTCCCTTGGCAAATAATTTCATTTAACTGTAAATACACTTAATTTAAGACATTTTTACTTATTTCTTTATTGTTTTTCCAGTGCAAAGGTGTTGTGAGGTCGATGCAGGTTTCTGTTTGTTAAAATAAACCTTTAATTAAAAAAGAGTGTCTTTGTTGATTTTTGTGTTGCAGTTTATGAAGAACGAGGCCGACCATCACGGACGGATCTCCAGAAGCCCTGTGATGCCGTATGACATCCCGGATAACAACAATGTTAATTCATTTGCGGTAAGATGGTAAAAAGATTGTGCACTTGAAACCCCCTGGAAAGGCCTCATTTTATCTATAAATCCCATTAAATGTTTAAGCTGTGCCTCTTGTTTGATATGAAGGAAAGTATTAAACAAAAGTTTGACATTTTGGGGAAATTTGCTTTCTTCCCAAGAGTTATAACCCATGATTTATATAATGGATAAGAAATCTAAAAGAATTAACTCTTTCCAAAGCTAGGTTCATGAAAAGATGCTGCACACTGTGGATTTTCTGTACTTGTAAAAAAAAAAAAACAATTTAAAAAAATGTTTTACCTGTATTTAAAAGCATGAAGAATGTTGTTATATTTTATTTCTATAATTCATAGTAATAAATCTGGATCTCTTTGTGAGATATTTTGCTGCCCAATATTATGGTTCCTTAAATTGAGTCCTGAAATCGGCACTGCATTCTAATATGAGGACTTTCTTTCTTCTTAATCTGTCTTTTGTATTTACAATTTAACTATTTTGTGGAATATCAGTTTTACTTAATTAGTCTTCACCCAAAAGCTGATTTTTTTCTCTTAGAAGAGAAAATAATATTATTTTAAAATGTCTATTCAATTTGAAATCAAAGCCATTGTTCTAGCTGAGGGAACCTGAGCCCGCAGTATGATGCAGCCACCATAAGGTTCTACTGTGAGGACTGTTGAAGGTGGTTGTTGGTGACAAACAGAGGTTGTTTCTATACCAAATATCGGTCTGAAAACATCCAGTTTTTTTAAACCATAACCCATTTTCCAACAAGGGTTTAGCAGGACCCATATTCTGTCTTTATGAGATAAGGCTTCGGTTTTCTAATCTGGTTCAACACAAGTAGAACTTCCTGCAGCCTCTTTTGTGATGCTGTCAGCCTTTGGGCAGACTTCCAGACCAGAGATGATTTTGTTTTTTCCCCACATGTCTGCAGTAAAAAGCACATAGTTTCCAAACTCTTAAGAAAACCAAAACATTGTTACTAGTAAATTTTTAGTGCAGAGATCCTAAGGTGACAATGGAGACACGTATTGCAGGAACAGGAGATGTAAGGAAATCCACAACTTAAGTTGAAAAATTTAAAACAAAAAGCTTCAAGACATTTTTTATAAATGTTGAGATAGACTCAAAGCAAATTTTTATTGTTTTCTGGACTAAAAATTCAGAAGGTACGCAATGCATACAGATGCACACGGTGGTGGCAGCATTATGCTCTGGGCTTTTTCTTCTGATTAGCCTTTTAATGCAGATGACGGCTCAAACGGCTCCAAATTCTGCTGAAATTTAAACCAAAAATCCTCCAGCGAAGGAGGAGTCCAGTTACTCTGCATCAAAATGAATCTAAATCAACAAAATAGATGAAGCTTAAACGTTTTAAAAGGCTCCAGCCAGAGTCTATAATTTATTTAACACGTTTCTCACCTGAGGTGGGATGCTATCATGGTTTTGGTTATATTGTGCTTTACTTTGCTCTATGTTTCCTAGTTTTGTTGGTTTAATTCCTATTTTGTTGTAATTTCTAGATTTATGTTAGTTCTCATGTTTTTCTGTTGTCCTCTGTTGCCCTCTTGTGTGTGTGTGTTCCTTTCCCCTTGGCTCCCTCGTTTTCTCCTCACACCTGCTCCTTGTCAGCTTGTTTGTAGCTTTGGAGGCGAGGGTGTCAGAGTTAGAATCCAGGCTTCAGGCTGTTGAAGTAGGCCCCCCACGTAGCTGTCCTCCAAAAGTGCCTGAGCAGCCAGGCGATTGGGTAACTGTACGCAGAAAGCGTAGTCGTGGATCTCTGCCCACTGGTCACCACCAACCCGTTCACGTTTCTAACCGGTTTTCCCCACTCAGTGACACACCCACTGAGAAGCCCACTCTGGTGATTGGCAGCTCCATAGTCAGAAACGTGGCATTAGAGACACCAGGGACCATAGTCAAATGTTTGCCGGGGGCCAGAACGGGCGACATCAAATCCTACCTGAAACTACTGGCTAAGGATAAGGTTAAATACAGTAAGATTGTTATTCACGCTGGTGGTAATGACACCCGGTTACGCCGATCGGAGGTCACTAAAATTAGTGTTGCTTCGGTGTGTAAGTTTGCCAAAAAAATGTCGGACTCCGTAATTTTCTCTGGTCCCCTCCCTGATCTGACCAGTGATGACATGTTTAGCCGCATGTCGTCATTCAACCGCTGGTTGTCTAGGTGGTGCCCTGAAAACAACGTGGGCTACATTAATAATTGGCAATCCTTTTGGGGAAAGCCTGGTCTGATTCGGAGAGACGGCATCCATCCCACTTTGGATGGTGCAGCTCTTCTTTCTAGGAATCTGGCCACATTTATTAGTCCTCCAAAACCCTGACCACCCAGGGTGCAGACCAGGAAGCAGAGTTGTAGTTTAACACACATCTCTGCAGCTTCTCTACTGTTACCCACTCTTTACTCCATCCAGACAGTGTCTTGCCCACGACCAAAATCTAATAAATTAGCAAAGATTCCCAAAGGAGTAAATCATGATAATCTAATTAAAATCAAAATAACTCAAATTGGGGAAAAAGTTAAAACAATTAAATGCGGTCTGTTTAACATAAGATCGCTTTCCTCTAAAAGTCTACTAGTTAATGACTTGATTTGTGATAATCACATTGACTTGTTTTGCCTTACAGAAACCTGGCTGCAGCAAGAGGATTATGTGAGCATAAATGAGGCAACTCCTTCAAGCTATTTAAATTTTCACATCCCCAGAAGTTCTGGGCGAGGAGGAGGAGTAGCAACAATCTTCCAGTCTGACTTACTGATTACTCCCAAAACAGTTAATACCTACAACTCTTTTTAATTTTTAACCCAAAATTTCCCCTTCCTTTTTAAGCAAAAAAAACCCTTTCCCCAAAAACTTTTTTCTCCCCCACCAGGGTTTTGATGTTTAAAATTTCCTTTTTTTTAAAAAACCCACCATAAAAAATTTTAAACAATGCGAATGAAGCCGAAACAAAGGGGCCCTTTAATCCAAAACCCTTTGGCTTTGCTTAAATCCCCCACCATCCAAAATTGGGTTCTTGTTACAAGGGCGGGGGAAGAAAAAAAAACCCCCTAAACCCCCCCTTTCCTGCCCACTTTCAATAACCCCATTTTAAACAGTTCCCCCCCCCAAAAATTCAATTTTAAATTTTTAGAAGTGCCTAAAAAATTTTAAAGAACTGCCATTCTTCCCCTTTTTAAAAACTTGGGGGACAAAAGTTTAGCATCCCTTCAAAATTTAAAGGGGGGTTGAAAACTCGGTATTTTAACAACCCCTTAAAAGAAAAAAGAAAAAATAAAGGCCCCCCTTTTTAATCCCCCAAATTTAAGAAACAAACGGAAAAAAACCCCAAAACCGAAACCCCTTTTTGGAAAAAATTTACCCCAAAAAAGGGACCCGAAAAAAACAGCAAAACCGCCCCAAAAGGGGAAAATAAAAAAATCCTAAAACTTTTAATACTTTTCCCAAAATCACCCAACCCCAACCCTTTAAAAATTAACCCCTTTTGGCAAGTTTTAAAGGATTTTTTAAAAAAAAAAATTTTTTCCCATTAAAAAAAAAGATCAAAACCCCACCCTCATCCCAAAACCCTATCAGGAAATCGAAGGGTTTTAACGTTTACCCTTTAACTCCCGTTTCAAAATTTTGTTTCACAAAGTTTCCCCTTGTTTTTTAATCCCAGCCCCCCAGGTTTTTTGGGGAAAACCCTTTGTTTTCCCCCTTTAAGGAAACCCTTTTTTTTTTCAAAAAAAAAACCAAATTTAAGGTTGCAAAAACCTTTTAAAAACCTCTTTGACCCAAAAACGGGAAAAAGAAATTTCTTTCCTTTCTTCCAAAAAAAAAAAATTTTCCAAAAACCCTTTTGGATTTCCCCCTTTTAAAAAAATTCAAAAATTTTTCGCCCCCCCCTTTAAAAAAAAAAACCCTCTGGAAAACTAAAACTAAACCTCGTAATACTTTTTTAAAACCGCCTTTTGGAATCTTATGCTGCTTTTAAATTCCCAAAAATTTCTTTTAGAAAAATTTTTTTGGGAACTTAAAAAACGGGGAAAAAAAAATTTTCTATCTGTCGAATTCTTTTTGTTCATGTTAATGAAGACTAAACCTAAAAAATTACCTGGGGGATCACGGGGTTTAAAACCAATTTTTTTTTATTTATACCCTCCCAATTGGAAAATTAAACCATGGGGTTTAATTTTTCCACTTTAAAACCCCGATACCACAATATCTTAAATTTTCCGATAAACCCCCAAACATAAAAACGGTTTCTTAAAAATTTTTCCCGGAAGCCAATTTCTTTGGGAACGGGCAAAAAAAAGATTTTTTGGCCAGATTTTCGGGAAAAAAAAATGATTAAAAGTAATTTGGGGGGGTTTTTAAAAATTTTAAAAAAAAAGAAAAAAACCCTTTTTTTTTATCAGCCTTCATTAAAACTCAAAATTTTAAATTTTTTTTTTCCCCGGGAACTTAAAAAAATTAGAAATATTGTCCCAGGGTGACTAAAAAAGTCCACTTTTTATTAACTATATTTTTTTTTTCCCAAGAAGTCCACAATGATTAAAAAAACCTCCCCTGTCCGCTCCCAAAAGGTTTTAAAAAAATAAAAAAGAAAAAATCTCGCCTTTCTTTTTCATGCTCCTTTAAATTCAAAAAAAATTTAAAAATCCCCCTTTCCAAAAGCTTTCCCACCCCTTTAACAGGATCTTTTTTTCCCATTTCCAAAAGATTCGTTTTTATCTAGTTTTTTTTCCTGTTTTCTTTTTTTTGGGGTTTTTTATTTTAGGCTTTCCCCGGAACCACCTCCTTTTTACCAAAACCCCCTTTGTCTACAAAAGGCTATTTTTAAAATCTTTTTTTTGTAAAGTTTATAGTTAATTCCGTTACCCTTCTCTATATTTTTGCGCTATAGGCTAACCTTTTGGGGGACTAGGGACCCCCATTTCATCATTCTGCTTCATTCTCTCTCTTTCTCCACTGCAGAATCTTTAGTTCAATCTCTAACCTTCTCTCTCTCTCTTTTCCTCAAGTAGCTTGCCTCGTCTTTTCCTGTTTGGGCTTGACTCATCCTGGAAAAAAAAATCAGCGTGCTGCTTCTACAAAAACCCTTTTTATAATTTTAGACGGCCCGTTTTCCCTTGGGGCCTGTTTCCTGACCGGACGAGTGGGTTGTTTTCTTCGCCCCCGGGGAGGGAGCGCCCCTTTGGGCTCGTCTCCTCGTGGGTTTTCCCGGACGGGGGGCCCCTTTTACAGCTGCTTTTTGTATCTCTGCTTCTGTCTCCTTGAACCCCAGTCGGCCTCGGCAGATGGCCGCTCACACTGAGCCTGGTTCTGCTGGAGGTTTCTTCCTGTTAAAAGGGAGTTTTTCCTCTCCACTGTCGCTACAAGCATGCTTAGTGTGGGGGATTGTATTTGAGTCAATGAGTCAATGCAATCAACTGGTTTTCCTTAGATAGAAAACTTTGTATCAATTTGATCTGGTTGAACTGTAAAGTGCCTTGAGATGACATGTGTTGTGAATTTGGCGCTATATAAATAAACTGAATTGAATTGAATTGAATTGTTAGCCCTCCCTTTGTCTCTGTCAGGTATGTATGCTCTCCCTCTGCTCTCACTCTTTGTTGGTTCCTTCTGTCATGTCTTGGTTGAGGTTTGGAGGACCCAAATGCAGAGGTAGAGAGACTGAGGTAAATATTTGTAGTTTTAAGGATGAAAATGGTTAACAAAGGCAGTCCAAAACTCCAACTAAAAATGTAACAGACCAGAATCACAGAGACATCAAGGGAAAACACGCACAAGGAGCCAGGGAGAGACGAGGTGAGACGACGACAGCGATGACAGGACCAGCAACAACAAGGAACCAACGAAGAGTGAGAGCAGAGGGAGAGCATATATAGCTGACAGAGACAAAGGCAGGGCTAACGAGCTGACGAGGAGCAGGTGTGAGAGGAGACAACGAGGGAGCCAAGGGGAAAGGAACACACACACACGCACACAAGAGGGTAACAGAAAAACATGAGAACTAACATAAATCAAGAAATTACGACAAAATAGGAAACATAGAGCAAAGTAAAGCACAATATAACCAAAACCATGACTTATGCGAAGATAGTAGCCACATAGTGGGAAATCATTAGGGCCTTTTTGTGGCTGAAAAGGTTTCGTGTAACTTTTATTGATTAGGACTTTCCTGTATTCTAAATCTTTAATGAAATGTTCTATCCTTGTGCTGCAGTTTTTGTTGAGTTTGTGAATCAAAAACTATCAAGAAACATCCCCGTTTGTCGTGTACGGAGCTCATAAAGCCAGCTGACAAACTCCTGCTCCACGCCGTTCATCCGGCATGAAGCAGCTTTATGTGAAGCTCAGGAAGAAAGTGAATCTTTACCTAAAATGTCAGGCTGTAACCATCAGCTTCCCTTTTTAAACTGCATGCTCACACAGACTAACATCCTGTAAAGAGGAACTAACGGTTTCATGTTTCCTGTCTACATGCTCCTGCCTGATGTCCTGCCTTTTCATTCCTCTCCTCCTGGGCTTCCAACATCTCTACTTTTCCTTCTGGCTTTGAATGGATTACTCCCCCCTCCCCAAACACACTTTTTTCTGCCTTTGCTTTTCACTTCCCTCTAACTCCTTTAAACCCCCCCACCCGTTCACGTCGGCCTCCTCCTTGGACTCTTGTATGTCTCTCTCTGGCGACTCTTCTACTACTAGGAGGCAGTGTGTAATGAGATCTTGAATATTGCTGAGACCTCGGTGAGGTACTGCAGCACCCTGTCCCACCACCATAATGACTCTCTGCATAGACTGCACCCCCACCCCAGTAAACAATCTCTCATCATTTCCCAGCAACCCCAGTCCCACAGCAGCAGTCCGGAGCCAAGCCGTCTCAACTGTGGAATGTGAGTGAGATTACTTTCTGTTTCACGCCGCAATTTATCTATTTATTTATTTCATAAAAAGCCCCTCACTTTTTATTTTGGCCCCCTCTCGCATTTGGTGGGGGTCCACGCTGGTTTGCACGTTTAACAAAATCCCTTTGTGTCGCCGCTGCAGCTTCCAGGCTCTGTACAGTTATGTGCCTCAGAACGACGACGAGCTGGAGCTGCAGGAAGGAGACCTCGTCAGTGTCATGGAAAAATGCGATGACGGCTGGTTTGTCGGTACGTCCTGCGGGAAGGATTCCTTCGCACTCACGGCAGCACATCAATCCATACAGGGCTTCCGTAGAGCGACAGCAGAGGCTTGAAAGAGTGTGACGTTCATGTCCTAAGCTCCTGAAGAAGCAGAACCACACGTCACTGGCTCGCATTGCTTCATATAGAGTTTCTAATGCATGACAGCTAAACATTGGGGCTGATGAAACCCGTCAGCTGTTTTTGTCAGCTACAGGTTAAAAGGAATCCCTTCACTTACTCCACCTTTTTTTCCTCTCTCCACAGGCACATCAAAGAGGACAAAACAGTTTGGGACTTTCCCTGGGAATTACGTGAAGGAAGTGAAATTGTAACCATATCTTATCTGCCTGTAACACATGGTTGCCTGTCAAGCTTGGGAAAGTTATTGCTACTGCGCATGGCTGTTGGTTAGAATAGTCATCAGGCCAGGGCGAACACATTTAGTCCAGGAAAGTGATCAGTGTGGCCTGGGGTATGTCAAACTGCACGAGGGGGACGGTTCTGTGGCCCAAACCAACGATCACACATTACTCACTCCGTCCTCAACACCGGAGAATAACGTCACACGATTATTTGCACAGATTTTAGCTTCCAATTCGTCCGTGTTTATGTAGCACCTCAGTCTAGAGCATCAGAGCAGCTCGAGGATCGTAGAGCGGATCTTCTCACCTATGAAGGACTTCGGAGGAGGAAGAAATGTTTTTTATGTGATGCAAATTGAAGCTCGCTGTCACGATTTACCTTTTAAAACCAGAGGTGTGATGCAAATTTGTGGAAGTTGTTCATTTAAAAGTAGAAATATATCAGATGAAGTTCCCTACTGTAAAATTTTTATGAGATTTCTTTTTAGGTTTCTGTAGTTCAAACGGACATTTTCCCCTTAATTTTGTTTTATTTTGCAAAGGTTAAAGGGCATATATCATTACGAAATATATTTTTTTTTTACTGTTTACACAGAGTCAGATTTATTTCTAAATGTTAAAAAAGTGCAAGGCGATTCAGATAAAGCAAAATGTTTTGGATAAGTGAAAATTTTACAATTTAAAACCAGTCTTGGGCATCAAGGCAATACAATATCCAGCCAAGACTAAAGCAGTGGTAGCTAAGTCTGCACATAGAAACTGAAGTTTAAGAGTTTATTTGGTGATCTCTCAAGTGAGGTGGAGAACATTAGGAGAAATCTCAGGGAGCAGAAACCCAGCAAACATGCACCCTACAGGGATTTAAACGCTCTGTGCAGAGCCCTAAGGCTGCAAGTCAGGAAAGGAGGGAGGGGTCCAGCTGAATATGGCAGCAATACCATAATTCTCTCACTTGTTTTTGATTCAGACACTGATTAAAACAAAGATGCAATCACATGTAATCATTGGTGAAGTAAAAATATTATCCATATTTTTGCTAACAAACAACTTTTGCTGTCACCTGGGCGGTCTGGCTGTTGACTCCCCCTCCGGGTTGCTGCTGTGTTGGGTTCTCTCCCCCCAGCTCTCCGGAGACAAACAACACATTTCCCCTTTTCTTTCATAATTCAACATAATTAAACAATATTAGTTTCTTTTTTATGTGTGGGAATCTGTCTTCCGTAGTTGGATTTACCTCCACAGAGACCCCCCCCCCCATACCCCCACTGCCCACGTTTCATTTATTTATGATCTTTGCATAAAGAAATGCAAACTTTATCCTAATGCCACATGTTTCCCTCACAAAACTCATTCTTTCACACAAAAAAAAGCCCTGATACTTTCTGTGATTAACAGAAGAGATTTCAGAAAACTGCATCATCCATATATGGACGTTACTTCCTGTTTTAGTGAGGATAATCTTCAAAAACCTTGTTTTGTTTTTGTTTGTTTTTTAAAGATTATTTTCTTTAAATAACTTATCCAATTAGAAAACCAGGTGTTTTCAATGTGATGATATATGCCCTTTAACAGGACATGATCAAAGAGATTGCTGCAGGAACTGATCTAATTTTGCTTTTTTTTTGCTTTTATTTTAATTAAATGAAATCCCCATATATTCAGAGATGTCTTGTTAGTGAGGGGACGTCAAAGCTTTTACAGCTCATTGTTATCCAAATGCTTCAGATGCCGTTTCAGTATTGCCTTGTTTCTGTAGTTTATAAAGACGACACACTGACTGTGTTCCATGTATTCTAAAAGTGAAGCATAACTGAATATTCAGACTTTTAATTTGGTTAGGTTTTGCCTTTAAGGTAGCTAGCGATCCAACGCCTTCAGCACAACTACTAGAGGGGCGTGGTAGCACTTAACTTCCTGTTCGTCCCCACGTAACAAGATAAAGCAGATTAATCTGATGATATACATCTATTATTTAGTCAGTGAGGTGTCCAGGAATGTAATTTAAGTGATTTTGAGAAAGCATATAGCCATTTCAACTGTACCCTTTCTAAAAAGATTGTAAAAGAAGCCTTCCAAATACAAACATGTATTATTCTTTCTTTTTGCAAATGTTTTGCATGCACTGTGAGATCAGGCTGGAGCATGAAAGCCCATCTTCATCTTCCCATCTGATTTAGCTATAAACTCTGTTCTGAAAGCATCAGAGTTGTCTTCCTGCAGGAACGGTGCATCAACACCACATGCCGGGACGTACTTGTTGCACAGAAACCTACCTACGAAAACAATGACTGTTATTGATCTTTTTTTTTTATAGAGGGGGGATTTAGAGTACGTCTTGTTTTCGTCAATCTCAGCTCTGTGCATATTAGTGCCGAACAAAGCTGTCAGATTGTACTGCAGATACATTTTAGTGCGTGTTATGACCTGCACAGAGCGGCTTCAGGCTGTAGTTTATGGCTTATTTGCTAAACAGGTATTTTCCAACCCATTTGGTGCAGATCAGGGCTCTGCTAAGATTAAAACCATAGTTTCTCAAATGCAAATAGCAGACCATCACTGGGTATACCCTTTCAAATGTTTGCACTGTGCCTCACAGAAGTATTCAAACTCTTGATCCTGTTTACATTTTGTCAACTTCCAACCACAAATTCCAATCTGTTTTATTAGAATTAACCTTACATTCTCAGTAAAATAGGTCAAGCCCATTAAGAATGGTATTGTCAGAGATTAGCAATTGGATTTTGGTCTGTACTTTGACTGGGCCATTATAATCCATGTTCACACTTTGCTTTAAGTCATCACTTAGTTTTTGCTGTATCTTTAGTAAGGATTTAAGTCAATCCCAGCCTTTTGTAGCCTAATGTTTTGTCTGCCAGATTTACTCTAATTTTAGCTCTATCCATCTTTACATTGAGCAGATGAAGAAAGGCATCCACAAATCATGATACTACCGCTTAATTTTAACCATCGGGATGGTTTTAGTGTAAATGTACATTTTCCTTTATACTTTCTGACCTTTGCTTCTGGCGGTTTCGTCTATCTCACTTCTCCCATTCACTAACTTTGGTTTCTACATGTTTAACTCCTAACTCACTGGTCCCTTTATCATAAAGACCAAATTAAAGGATTTGACTTCTAATAACTGTCCTGTAAACAGATTATTCCAACTGAGCTTTTGACCTCTGCATCTTCACCACAGTTACCAGCTTATTTTTGGATGCTTTGTTGATTAAAGCTCCCCTTGCCCGTCTTTCCTATACTTTTTCCATTTCCAGTTGACGGATTAAGCAGCGCTCTTTTAGATCTTGTTGGCTTCAAACTTCTCCTGTCTGCTGTGCTCCTTGGTCTTTGTGATGCTGTTTGTTCGCTGATGTTCTCCTTTGCCACAGGGCAGTTGATTAGCGACACTGGATTATAATCAGAAATCAAAGGAAAGAGAAATGAATACAAATAGTTTTTTTCAGGTTACTATTTTAACTATTCTCCATTTTAAGATTAAGCACCAAATCCCACCTGAAGCGATATATAGAGGCTATAGCCTCTTTCCTACTGAAAATGCCGGGTTAATGCGTGTTTTTCAAACATGCGTCATCGACCCGCAAACAATCGGCATTTGTCTCCGCTCCTATTGGCCAAAAAAAGCTGGGTCTAACCCCTCGCTGGCAGCTGCATGGCCTCTGTCCCCTCACACCTGCATGTTTGATGACACCACCATGCTTAGTTAGCATTGATTATGTCACCAGTGCAACAGAAATCAGGAAAGTAAACAATGAAGAGCAACATGTAAGGAAGCCAGGGCGTAGTAAGTGTGCTTTATTGTTTCGCTCTATTATCTTTCCGACTCTCTTTCCGAAGTTGTTTCGGCTTGATCAGGCGGCGTCCGTATGTTGCGTTCACATAATATAGTCGGTTAACCTGGCCCTTAGAGATAGGGTGAGAAGCTCGGTCATCCGGGAGGGACTCGGAGTAGAGCCGCTGCTCCTCCACGTCGAGAGGAGCCAGTTGAGGTGGCTCGGGCATCTGGTCAGGATGCCTCCTGGACGCCTCCCTGGTGAGGTGTTCCGGGCACGTCCCACCAGGGGGAGTACCTGGGGAAGACCCAGGACAAGCTGGAGAGACTATGTTTCTCGGCTGGCCTGGGAACGCCTTGGGGTTCCTCCTGAGGGGCTAGAAGAAGTGGCTGGGAAGAGGGAAGTCTGGGCCTCCCTTCTTAGGCTGCTGCCCCCGCGACCCGACCCCGGATAAGCAGAGGAAGATGGATGGATGGATGGATGAACCTGGCTCTGGTGTTCCCACAGCACGCATATAGGAGCCGAGGTGATTTTAACACGGGCCGCTTGCCGAGTCATTTGACCCAGGAAGACACGCATCAGTGAGCTGTTCCCTCTGCCACTAAAAGGAAATTGTTCCAGGGTTTAAACAGGTTTTCCGGGCAGTGGTAAAAGGGGTATATCACAAATTCAGCCGTCTGGATTTGATTCCTGACCTTTGCAGCTTGTCTTCCCTCTCTGTACATTTTCAGTCTGAATAATGCAGATAAACATCATCAGTGCCACATAAAACTTTCAAAGGTCCCTCATGAATTAGATGAAATTTGTGGTTGTGATTTGACTGGATGGAAAAAAAACTTTTTGGGGGTTTGCACATACTTTAGTTAAGCACTGTAGATAAACATAAGGTGAAGAAATAAACATTAATGAAGTCAGTTTTATTACTAGTACAATCAGTGTTTCCTTCCATTTATTTGCTATTTAATTTTGTATTTTTTTCTTACCCTTAGACTGCTGTGCCCCCATGGCTACAGAGTATTTCCTCAGAGAGCTTGTGATAATACGCTGCACTGTGGGTTTTGCCTGCACTGCAGTGATATAATGTTCATGTGTTTTGTTTCACCACAGAGGCCTCCACAACACGCTTGCTCCTCTATAACCTCAGCTTCACATAAATGTGTTTGGCTGGTTGAGAGTGTGACGATTTGTATCTTTGTAAAAGCTTGTTTTTTTTTTCTTTCCATCATAAAAAGAGAGATTTTTTTTTATACACCTTATATAAAATCAATGAGTCAGAACTGCTCCCAGCAGGGTTTCTGTGCTCCATAAAGCATCAGGGGGTGAATGAATGTTTGAGTATATGAATGTGATGCAGGCAGCGTTGTCTAAACTTCAATCTGGGTGAAAATGGAAAGGGTTGTAAATATGTAAAATAAAGCAGATAGACTGTAAGCGGCGAGAGCGTCAGACTGGGCTCTCGCTCTCTTACGGTGGATTATTTACTATGAAGGATTTGTGGCAAAGCACAGAGTGGAGCGTTACACAGCAGCACTGAAACTTTGACACCAATTATCATGTTTTTCGCTGCCATTTTTATGCATCAAAATGATTTGCATTACGTACAAATATTGTGCCTCATTTGTCATTCTAATTTGATTTTTTTTTTTGAAGGGAGGGGGGAATTTTACTAAAATGTATCAGGTCATAATTCAGTGTAACCATGGTCTATTGTCTGTTACCGTACCTAAGAGTGTGACGCCGTGCTTCGAAATAATGATTCATTATTGAAATAATTGGGTTAGTTTGATGAGATACACAACCTGCAACAGGTTTGGTTTTGTTTGCTTTGATTTGCAGTGATGTTACATTAACAATATTAAAATAAAGATACTACACACTGCTGTGACTTCGGTATTATGCAATATTTAATAAACAGTTTAAACTACGATGTGTCCAATCTGGTCATTTCTTGCCCCATAAACTACTTTGGTTATCATTAATGACTGAAATCTCTCTGGGCAAAAGGAAATTGGAAAACAAACGTATTTATAACCAGGAAGAAGCAAACGTAGTGACCTAGAATGCATAACCTCAGAGTTTGTGACTTATCTGCGAGGAATATAGATCCCAACAAAAAATGATTATGCAAAACATGCGTAAATAAGTCCTTTTGACAAGGGATATGCTGTGACTTCAAAAATATTCGGACCCACTTGAACTTTTTCACCCTTTGCCACATTTCAAACATAAAGATATAAATTTGTAATTTTTTTGTGAAGAATAAACAAGTGGAACACAGTCATGAAGTGAAAGGAAATGTATGGCTATTATAAACTTTTTTAACAAATAAAAAATGTAAAAGTGGGGCGTGCAAAAGGAATTGGCCCCTTTACTTTCAGTGCAGAAGTTCAGTGGAGATCTCTGAATGATCCAGTGTTGACCTAAATGACTATTGATGATAAACAGATTTCACCTGTGTGTAATCAAGCCACCATATAAATGCACCTGCTTTGTGATCATCTCAGAAGTCTGTTTAAGGCGTGGAGAGCATCATGAAGAACAAGGAATATATAGGCAGGTCCAAGATATTTGGCCAGATTTGGATGCTAAAAGATTTCCCAAGCTTTAAACATTCCAAGGAGGACTGTGCACCTATAACATTGAAAGGAAGGAGCCTCAGACCTCTGCCAATCTATGGAGACATGGCCGTACCTCTATACTTTCACCTCAAACAGGGAGAAGACTGATCAGAGATGCAGCCAAGAGGCCCGTGATCGCTCTGGATGAACTGCAGAGATCTACAGCTCAGCTGGGAGACTCAGTCCATGGAACAACAGTCAGTTGTATATTGCACAAATCTGGCCTTTATGGAAGAAAGCCATTTCTTAAAGGTATCCTTAAAAAGTTTTGTTTAAAGTTTGCCACAAGCCACCTTGGGAGACACAGCATGCATGTGGAAGAAAGTGCTCTGGTCAGATGAAACATAATCGAATGTTTTGGCAACATTGCAAAAATTATGTTTGGCGTAAAAGCAGCATAGCTTATCGGCTTTAAAACACAATTCCCACTGTCAAACATGGTGCTGGCAGCATCATGCTTTGGACCTGCCTTTCCTCAGCAGGGACAGGGAGGATGGTTAACGTTGAGGGGAAGATGGACGGACCCAAAAACAGGAGCATTCTGGAATAAAATCTGTTGGAGTCTGTTGGAATAATTATGTATAAGATACTTAATGTTTGTTCTTATGATGTATAATGTGTGACATATTACTGTTCCAGAGAGGTGTTGCACAAGCAGTATAGGTAAACTCTCAGGAAGTATTGCTCAAGCTTAACGAAACCAGGAGGTTCTCGGACCATTTGACTGCAAGACATTTAAATGCAAATTGACCTGTTCACTGAGGCTGCAAATTGAATTGTATTCCTTGTTTCCTATTCCTTTAGCACAACCTCAGCTTGTGTAATTAGGGACCCCCCCTAACTTTAATAAATAGCGCAGAGAAAGCTGAAAACCGGGTTGGAGATTTGTAAACTCTGCAGTCTCTTCCTACTCTCCTCGCGAGTAAAACTAAATTAATTCTCTGTGCCTTCTTTCTTTCCCTATATTTATGTATGATGTTTTAGGTGCTTAGACCTGACAGAGTCTGCAAAAGACCTGAGACTGGGATGGAGATTTACCTTCCAACAAGACAATGATCCACAATGTAATGCAAAATGTCTAATGGAATAGTTCACAAATATCCAGGTGTTAGAATGGGCAACACTGCAAAAATGATCTAGAAATAAGTAAAAATTTCTTAAATTAAGTGTATTTATCCTTATTCGAAGTAGATAAATAAGATAGTTTGCCAATGGAATGAGTATTTCTACTCTTACCATAAGATAATTAGAGAATATGCACTTGAAATAAGACAAGGCAATTGTGTTTTCTTATTTTAACTGTAAATTTTCTTGTTCCATTGGCAAAATGTCTCTTTTACCTCCTCAATTCAAAATCAAATGCACTTATTTTAAGAAAAAATTACTTATCCAGATTTCAATTTTTTCCAGTGAAGTCACAGTCCAGATCTAGTCTGAACGAGAATCTGTGGTAAGAACTGAAAACTGCTGTTCACAAACACTCTCCACCCAACCTCATTGAGCTCCAGCTGTTTTCAAAGGAAGGGCAAACATTTCAGTCTCTCAATGTGCAAAACTGATAGACATACCTGAAGCTGTAATCACAGCAATAGGTAGTGCTACAAAGCATTATAACTCAAGGGGGCTGAATAATTTTGCACACCCAATCTTTCTGTTTTTAATTTGTTAAAAATGTTTAGAATATCCAATAAATTTTGCTCTACTTCATGATTATTTCCCACTTCTTGATTCTTCACAAAGAATCACAATTTTCTTAATGTTTGAAGCCCAAAATGTGGCAAAAGGTCAAAGTTCAAGGGGGGAGAATACTGTTGCAACTGTTCCAGCTGTGTGACGTAATCAATCTGATGTGAAACAGATTAGAGCACAAAGCTCTAAAATACCTTAGAGGCTGTGTATAGATATTTAGATGAATGACAGGATATTATTCATGATATAAAACTTTCTAAATATCAGTTAAATAATCATTTAAATTTTGTTTCAAATGTTAAAATTAAATCCTTTTCTTTAATATGTTTAAAAAGGCTCAAGTTCTACAGGATTTTTTAAATTATAATAATAATAAATATTATAAATGATTCAGATTCATAAAGATGGAAATCCTCCGGGTTTGGTTTTAGCAGTAGCGTTGCACAACAGGTGGAAATCTATTATTGCAATATCAATGTACAGAATAAACACAGTATATTTGAATCTGAAACACTCACATGGAGAGAAAAGATAATTAAAAGAAATGTATTAATTCAATTACTTAGTCTTTGGCGCTCAGACCTCGGCAGGAAACATAGCACTGAATTTTGATAGATATGCATGAACAGGAGCAAAGAATAGGGCTGTCCTGTTGAAAGAACCTGTCCATGATGAGCAAGCATGAAGCGACGGTGGAGAGGAAAAACTCCCCATTGGGAAGAAACCTCTGGCAGAACCAGGCTCAACATGGCGGTCTTCTGCCGGACCAGTTAAGATGAGACAGGGAACGCAGTGAGAGTCCGGGAAGAATAACACTCTGATGAAGCTTTAGCTACGATGGTGGAGGAGGGGATGGAGGTGGGTTGAAATGGGGTCATCTGAATGAAGTCACGTGGCGCAACCACTGCCTTCGCACTAGGTAGCAGACGAGTTGCAAATCGGAGCCCTTTTAAGATGAACTTTGGATGCTGATTGGCTTTCGTGGAGGCGTGGTTCAAAGCTGGCAGAAGAAGGCGAGTAATCAGTTTTTTCAGTTAAACTTCCGCCTAGGCTCCATTTAGGTGATGGACACAGGAAATACTATTGACGGTTGTTGCTTAATGCAGCATAAACGGTTTCATCACATAGTAAGACACTAAAAACCTCAGAAACTAATGTTTCCAAATTATTTCACCTTTTCCAATGAATGAAAGAGTTAAATTTTAATCATTGCTTCTTTTAGAGCAGAAATTACACAATTTATTTCCAACTGCAAATTTCCTTAAAAAAAAAAATCTTGCTGATTTGTTTACTACAACCAATGAAATTTGACTAGTTTATCCAGCGTATAAATAAAAGGCTCTAGATGGGATTAGACCGGTGAGTAAATAAGAAATAAACTTGTCTCAAAGTTTATTTACAGGTATTTGTTTAATAAACACTGCACAAGTGGCTGTTTGAAGGTTTGGGAAAAACAAATTCTCAGAAAGGTTTATTTCAATCTCTATAAACAGTTTAATAAGAGCTGCCAAATGCCCAATAAGCAGTATTTTAATTTTTTGCTTTCCATCAGGTTGAACTGGGACTGGGGGCCCCACATTTGATTTGGGGCCCCATATCCTAGATCAGCTCAGATTATAAGTAGTAGCCCTTTTACTACAGTACCTACCAGATCTGGTCTCTTCCAATGAGGGGCAGCCATGGCCGGCATGCAAAGCACAGAAAGGGCGTGTTTCATTCAGTGCGTCTGCTCAGGCACTCTGAGCGCTCCTGGCTGGAGTTCAGGTTTCGGGAGCGGCACATTCCTCATCCTGGGATTTAGCTCTACCATAAATGGTAAGTTTGCACATAACAGGGTGACGCAAAGGCAGAGCCGACATCCCCTGGAAACAAAAAAACTCTGATGAGAGGGGCGAAATGTGAAGAGGAGCCTCTCTGCTCTACCTTCAAAGCACTTTTTTCATAAAAAAAAAAAAAAAGTTATCCAACTTTTATCAAAGCTATTTTCTTAGTCCTTTAAGCTTTTTTTTTATGTGAGAAGCACTGGTGCATAAATGCACTTGATAAGTAATGATGCTCAAACATGGACTACTTTTTTTTGTGTTTGTGCAGATTATAGATGATTTAAGGGGCAAAATCATTTAAAGTTCCTCAGTTAAGGCATCAAAAGCTATTGTATAGTAAAATACATTCGATGCTGCCATTATTTATTTTAACTGTTTTATTATTTTGTAGTTATTCGTTTCAAAACCAATACAGACAAGTTAGGTGTCAAGTTACCGGTGGTGTGTGGATTTATGCTGAGTGGGAGCACCCATCTGTCTAATAAACGATCTGTGCAGTGCAGGTTATCAGCGTGGAGGAAAACTTCTGAAACTATTCGTCCAATTGTAGCCGGAGGCTCCGCCCACCCCTCCGCTGCTGCTCAGCCTCAAATCACCGACCGCTCCTGTCAGAAGCAGCAGGAACCGAGCCAGGGGACCGAGGTTGGTTAGTAAACGCCTAAAGCTACCTACTTTAGCCTGCCGCTATGCCGCCTGTCCGGGTAGTGATGCAGGGTCCCGGTCCGTGGGGGTTCCGGCTGGTTGGGGGTAAAGACTTCGAACAGCCGCTGGCCATTTCCCGGGTAAGTTTGCTTTTATCTCCTCTCCACCTGGACTGAGTTAATGAAAGCAGCCCGAGGCTGAGTTAAGGTGGTTAACGGCTGGCTAACGGCGGCTAACCAATTTAGCTAAACGATGTTTAATATCGGTTAGCTGCGTGAAAACAGAAGTTTAATTAAGCTTTTTCCAAGGTTTTACAGCCACTGAACATGTTTTTAGTTGCTCCCCTTTTCTGGCTTTTTGTAGCTGTAACTATGAGTTTAATCAATTTCAATATAAAACAGCTAAAATCCACCCAATACTTCATTTAAATGCTTGAAACGTTCAGGAATGAGTCCTTTAACATGTATTCTTTTTTTTTTTTTTTTTTTTTTTTTTTTTTTTTTTTTACAGTGTCCTGTCTGGCAAGGTGGCAATAAGAATAATTGTCTTGATGCCAAAAGGAGCCCAACAGATTTTACTTTCACAAGTGTAGCGGTATCGCAATTGCCATACCGCTCCACTTGTTTCATGTATATAAATTGCTTTATTATAATTATGCAGGGAGTTTTACAGTTCATATGGACACTGCAATGTAAGTAGAGCAGAAAAACAGAAGAAGAAGAAGGAAAAAGAAAAAGAAAAAAACAGGACAAAAGATGAAAGAAAGAGGAGATAGGAAGGAGACAATGACAAAACATTTTCAGTCTGCTTCAACACCTGTAATGAGATGGAGAAAAAAAAAAAAAAAAAGAAAAAAGAACAGCACAACCAAAAAACATGGTACGAGATATACAATAAAGCAAACACCTTGAAACTATCACTAAAGTAATATTATTAAGTCTGACATGTACTCTGTGTTACCTGAAGATATGAATGTGGGGTTTCTGTTTGGAAGTGAATCTCTAAGTACCTGAAGCCTAGCACCTGTAGTTGTTTGTGAGGGTGAACTTGTGCATGTAAAGTTTTAACCATAGAAAAAAATGCTCAATAGTGGTTGTGGAGAGCCGGAGAGGCACACCCCCCAGAGCACTGAGTCCAGCGCCGGGAGACCCAAAGCCCCAGGCGCCCAAGGGGACCCCAGAAGCGAAGGCACCAAGGCGGGGCCAGCCCCGGAAATCAGACCCCACCAAGGCAGGAGGAGAGACAGCCACGAGGAAGCCCCCCAGCCACCGCCATGCCGGCGCCCCGGGGAGCCGCGGGGACGAGTCCGCGGGCCCCGCCGGCAGCCGGCCACCCCGAAGTAGGGCCGGGCGCCGAACACCAGCCCCCCCACGGCGCCGACCGAAACGCCCCAGCCCCACAGAGCACCGAAACACGCCCCGCCCCCCGCACCAAGCCCCGGCGACCGGCCGCAACACCCACCGCGACCGCACCACCCAGGAAAACACTAAGACGACCCCGCCCCCGGCCGGGGCCCATGCGCATCCGCCGCGAACCGGCCACGAGCGCCGCGGGACCCCCCCCAAAACGCCCCCCCCGGCCAAAAGCGCAGCCCCACCCCACCAAGACCGATGCCAACAGCGCGCAACGAAACACACCGCGCACAGAATCAGCCCGAGAGCAGAAAAGCCGCCCGGCGCAAAACCACAAGAGGAGCAGACCGCAGCCGGCGCAACCACCCCCCCCAGCAGCCCGAGGGGCAGCACAAAGCCAGAGCGGAGCGAACCGCGCCGCCCCCCCCACCGGACGATGCCAAAGCAGCCCAGCCACGTCCGCCCCCCCCCCCGCCGCCCGCACCAGGCCCCGACACGCGGCCAGAGCAGCTCCGCCGCCCCGGCCCCCCACCACGCGCCGGTCATAGCCACCCCAGGCCCACACCCGCCCCGCAGCCCCACCCGCCGCGATCAGTGGGAACAGAGCAGCCCCGCCATGCCTCCAGGAGGGAAAACCCACCCGAATACCCAGCCAGCGCAGCCAGCCCGCCCAGACCGGCCCCCCAACACTACCCCCGCCGGAGCCGCCCGGACCCCCACACACCAGCGGCGCGCCGCCAGCAGGACCCCCACCCAGCAGGCCCGCCTGCCCCCCGAGAAAACAGACATGCCAAACCCCCCAAAGAAAAAAAGAGAAAAAAAAAAAAAAAAAAAAAAAGGGGCCCCCACAATGCGACAGCGGACACCAGACACCGACCCGCCCGCAACCGCTCCCCCCCACCGAGGAAGAGAAAAAAAAAAAATAACAAATAAATAGGTAAATAAATAAATTAATTAATAATTATAATTAAAATAAATAGGCAAGAGGAGAAGTGCGAGCGGAAAAACCGGAGCCCAAAACAGGACCCAAGACCCGCACCCAACCATGCCGCGCAGCTCCCCCCCCCCCCGAACCGATACCACAGAACCGGCATAGGAAAGAAACACTGCCCAGGAACCGGCATCGTAGCGAAGGCACCGGCACCGACCCCGAAAATCCCCGAACAACACCCAGCCCCACCCCGAAGCGGATCCAGTCCCAGGCCCCAGGGATCCGAGGCCCCAAGGGCACCCCACCCCCAGACAGGAGCCCCAGCAAAGCCCCGGCCGGCCGGGGCCAGCGGAGAGGCCGCCAGGAATGAGCCAGCAGTCCCCCGGGCATCCACCCCCAGCTCCACCAGTGCACCGGTGAGCCCCGACGCCAGCCAGCGGAGGGAGAGCAGGACGGGGGGAATGGGCTCCGCACTTAGCGGAGACTTGAGATGTATTTGGGAGAGGGTGCGGTTGAGACCCCAACCTGGGAAAGAAAAAAAAAAAAAAAAAAAAAAAAAACTTTAACATGTATTCTGATGATGATGATGACTGCCATCATCATCATCTTCCTCCTCTGTCATCCATGACCTCTTGCTGCCCTTTCACTCCTTTTCTCTTATTTTACAACACTTTGAGTCAGAGGCGCGCCAGAACATTTTTATAAGGGTGGTCAGGCAATAACCAATGTACACTGAGGGCAGGGGCAGAGCTAGATGGGGGGCCAGGGGTGGCCATGGCCCCCTACCATTTTTTTCCTCAATAATACAGACCATGGCAGCAGTAATACTCTCAAGTGGAATGTTCTAACTTATTTAACATTTTAGTTTTCTATATGTAAACAATTACCTGACAACAAAAACCCTTTAGTCAATATACTAACTTTAAAGATATATATACAGAATTCCTGCTCTTTTCAGAACTAGATTTTGTCTTATATGGGTCAAGAGAAAATTGTCTCTGCAAGTTATCTAGGAATCTTCACTGAAATCAGAGATAAATAACTACTATAATAATAAGTAATCCATTTAATGTAGATATTAGTACATGTAAATATTAATTTTATGCTGAATGATTATTAATAAAAGTAGGTTAGTAATGATGATGAATAAGATATTCACCCCTGAACTAAAAACTGAAGGAATTTTGTGCACTACACCTTTAATTTAGATGCCATGGATGTTTAAATATATGCGTCTATTTGTTAGCATAGGCTGTAGGAAAGTTTCTTTATTTAGAAAATATGGATGTTGTTTATTTTCCTTTTGGAACAGTGTAGATTGACCCTGAGGTTCTGGAACCTATCTGAATCTACATTGGCTATTGCCTGGCCCCCCTATTAAAATGTTCTGGCTACGCCTCTGCCTGAGGGGTGACCAAAGGTAGATGGGCACCAAGACCTCCCGGTAAATCTACTCTGTTCCAATAGGAAAATTAACAAGCAAAATGTCCATATTTTCTAAATAAAGACAAACTATACTTTCCCACAGCCTTTGCTAACAAATAGACGCATATATTCTAACATCCTTGCTTTCTAAATAAAAGTAGTGGATAAAATTCTTTCAGGTTTGAGTCCTGGGTGAACATCTCTTCTATTGTCATTACTTGCCTACTTTTATCAATAATCATTCTGCATAAAATTGATATTTAGAAGTATTAATATTTATACTATAATAATAAAAACTTCCAATCCAGGAAGTTTTTTTCAATTATGGATGGGAAGCGAAACATCTTCAAACTTGGAAACAAAGTCCAGTGGATTGTTTTACTTTTTTGGAAGGACTATGACCTGGATGTCTGAGGATCTTCACCAGCATAATGTTGACTGACTTTATTGTGTTTATATCCATTAGAAAAGACTAATGGTTGATTTTTGCTAGTACCTTTTGGCTGTCTAATCGTCACAAAATTATGCTGATAAGGTTTTAAAATGGCTGAATTTGTCCTTGTTAGTATAGTGATCTAGCGTAGTAAACTAGCCCCACCCACCAGTGACCAAAATCATTTTCTGCGAGTGGTCTAGCCTCGATCAATGCCCTAGAACTGGCGGGCCAATCACAACGCAGAGATGTGTTTTGAATTTCTGGATGCAAAGCGGGCGTGGTTTTGAGGGCGGGATGGTAAAGCTGTGCAATGCTGGAAGAAGCACAACTAGGAAGATGGCAACAACTGTTGGACAGTTCTCGATTGACTCAGCTTTGGAATCAGTTTTGGAAGGATTAGAGTAGGAGTTTTCATTGAAACGTGAGCAGGAAGAGGCTCTACGCTTACCGACAGGCTGTTTGTTTAAACTCCCCCACCAGCTTTCTGTCGCGCTTACTACGTCACAGTCAGCTGCGCTCATCGGTCAGGCGTTGGCCAATAGGCACAGACATGGTTTAAAAAACAAGGGGTTTTTCTCATCAACAATCTTCCGATGTCTCTACTAATTTACACATTAAATTACACATTTAATCTCACATTTAGTCTGCTTTATCTGGCTAATAATGATCAGCAGATTGGGAGGGCCAGATGAATTAGTGGATTCCCTTAGGAAGCACTGGACTTCACACATTTATTGATAGTCGGATTTTTGAGTCGGTGACATATTAACTTTTTTAAACATTTAGATTAAAAGAAAGAAACAATTACTTTTTTTTTAACCACACTAGTCACTATAAGTCTTGGAATAGATGATAGCAAATTGATTTATGTTTGCAGACTCCAGATATTGTTAATAAATAGGTTTGTTTCCTTTGGAGTTTGAACTACCTTTTTTTTTACCTATCTGTTTCATCTTAGGGTTGCTCAGTGGGGCAGTGAGCAGCTAAGAAGGATCCGGGTTCGAATCCCGGCTTTCTTTCTGCATGGAGTTTGCAGGTTCTCCCTGATCATTCATGGGGTCTCTCCGGGTACTCCAGCTTCCTCCCACAGTCCAAAATCATGACTGTTGGGTTAATAGGCTTCTTTAAATTCTCCTTAGGTGTGAGTGTGTGAATGGTTGTTTGTCCTGTGATGGACTGGCGACCTGTCCAGGGCGTACCCCGCCTTTCGCCCGTGGATGTTTCGTCTTATAAAAGTAGACTGTTAGCATTTGTTTTGTTTTTCTTTTTTTATATAGTTGTATGGGAATAGTGTCTCCAACTGAATTCTGTTTTAAAATGAACATATTTGTAGTAAAACCACATCAACACTCAGCACTTCTCTCCGCAGGATTCCTTTTCATTTCTTGACGCCAACATACTTTGTCCTTTTCAGGAATTCTGCCGGTCTCTAAAACTTGATTAAAACCTTGTTAAATCAGCTACTCTAATATAATTAAAACAGATAACCTAGCACTGTTTGTTTTTAGGCAAATACCAGACTCGACCCATTTAGATGCACTCATCAATAAGCTCCTGATGTTTTCAAGCAGAGCACTTTATAGCATTTCTTGGCTAAAATGATTATATTTCCTCTCTGTTTTGATATGACTTGTTGATGTTTTGACTCGCAACATATTTCAGTGTCACTCCGTCACCTCAATCATAAATGCAGGCACAGAGAGCCTTTTGTTTTCTGTTCATTCATAAACTTTGATGGTTTTCTTGAGCATTTTAAGGAAGCATATTTGGTTAGATTATTTAGCCACAGTCGGTGAAGCTGTAAAACACGCATTACAGAGGAGGAGGTGCTGAAGCGAACACAGTCTGACTTTTTTCTTTTAACTTAAGGGGTTTTTTTATTTGGGAAAACCCAGACTTGTTAGAGCTTGCGTAGCGTACCATTTAATGTAGCTTTGAAAGCTGTGCACATAGAAATAGGCTGTTATTTGGAAAAGTTGGCCCTGGTAAACATTCTTACAGCTGCTTAGCACCATAGAACCCAAGAAGATCTTTTTATTTTATTTTTCCCCACTTGCCTACTTTTCTCCATTAATACCAAACCATGCCGTTATAACATTTCTCCCCCATCTCCGTCTGAACCTCTGCCTGTAATGTCATGGTATATGACTCCACTGTGTACTTTGCCTGAGCAGAGGCAGGAGTTCCTGTTGTAAACCTTGCCGCTGCTGCGACGGCCCGCTCCACCCATGGAAATGTGATTAGGAATTCCTGGACTGTGCCAGCCTCTCCACTTTAAGCCCCTTATCTTGATAAAACATCTGCCTTCTGGGCGGATGACTGAAAAGTCCTGTTTGCAAGTGGCTTTGCTTCTATTTACAGTAAACAAAACTATGTGGGCAAAGTATGTAAGGGTCAGCACAGCAGATCTGAGGCCCTGATATAAGCCCAGGGAATTCAGACTGTAATTAAAGTCAACCTACTTTATTATTTGGTCTGAATACGTTTCAAATTCCAAAACATTCCTTCTGTTTTGTGATGATTTTTTATTTTTAGGTCAACCCTGGAAGCAAAGCAGCCCAGGCCAACTTGTGCATCGGAGACATAATTTTATCTATCAATGGCGAGCCAACAGAGAGCATGACTCACTTGGAGGCGCAGAACAAGATCAAGGGCTGCGTAGAGGAAATGGCGCTCTCCATTGACAGGTAGGCTGTAGCAGCATGTACCGCCCGCCCCGGCCCCGGCCTTGTAAAAACTGTGAGTAATGGGAGACAGCTCAGCTTTTATCCAGGTGTTCAGTGAGGGCTGTTTGCTCATGCATTAGGAGGCAGGATCTGGCCTTTTGTGTGTCTGTGTTGCAACTCCAATTTATCTCACTGCATTACATCATGGCGTTCAGGTCACAGAGAAAACAAAAAGGAAGCAGAATTAAAGCTGTGGTGTTTTTTTTTTTTCTTTCATTTCGCCCTGCAGGTCTGAAAGTAAGCTGTGGTCACCACTTTCATCCGAGGAAGGAAAGACGCACCCTTACAAGATGAACCTTGCGTCAGAACCACGGGTGTGTAACGGCATTAACGTAGCGTTTAAAATTAACGCCTTAGCCCTGATGTTTAGATTTAAAACCAGAATTCATTCATAGGTACTTGTATGTTTTCTGGAAGCCTGAATATGTATTATCCACTCTTCCTGCTAAGGTTGTGGGAGTATTTTGTGCCAGAAATGAAGTCATTGTTTGCTTCCCAACAGGAGGTTTCCTAGAAGACAGTAGTTTATCAGCCAAGCTGTGACGTAAGCCTCAGTTGCTGCTCTTTCGAGGGGAAAAGTTGAGGCCAAACTGTGAATTCATGTAGGAAACTATGTCACAGGCCGTCTGTGTGTGTGTGTGTGTGTTGTGCTTTTTTCTTCATCCACCTTTTAAACACGTTTGAAGCGTTTAGCTGAAATCTATCACCTTCATTCTTGTTAATTTTAACCAGCTGCTTATAAAGTTTATATTTCTGCCAAGAATTTTCCCTATTCAACAAAGAAGCCAGATGCTTGAAGCGTGTTCTGTGTTTGGAGACATTTCTGTGTTCCCACTGTGAGGCATGAGCTAGATTTGGTGGTATTTACATGCCCACAAAGCTGCCATGCTGATGTCATTCCGTGTTTGTTGGCTCACACCCTGAAATAGAATTGGACAAATGTCAATAACTCGTCCAGTTATGTTCAATACAGGTGTCGAACCAAAAGCAAGACTGTTTTTGTTTGTTGTTTGGTCAAGTTTCTAATTAAGCTCTGCAAAAACCTAATCCGTGTTTCTCCAGTGCATGTTTTTCACTAAATTAATCACAAACGTACTGGTTTGCATTTTCACCGTGAGGCATGTACAAGTTTTTCTTTCACCGAGCTCCTCTGCAAGAACTCCGCCTGATGTGTCTCTTTAAACGTTCCTTTTTGTCCAGGAGGTGAAACACATCGGTTCATCCCACAACAGGAGCGCCCTGCCCTTCTCTGGATTTGGCCCCCAAGTCGTGACCAACCAGTACAACAGTCCGTCCGGTCTGTACTCATCGGAGAACATCAAGGACTTCAACTCCGCTGTGGACGAAGTGAAGACGGTGGCCACGAATAATGAGCCCAACAACAAGTGAGTCCTGATTAGATGTTACCTCAGCGCACTGGGGCCCTGAGGCAAGCTAACATAAAAAGTAGCATTACTGAAACATTTTATGTTAAGTTAAAAAAGTAAAACTCATTATCCACATACATTATGTTGGCAAAGTAGAAAAAAAAAAAAAAACCCTCTAATCCATAAATGCCAGACTACATAAAGCCTCATGTTCTTAGTTTGACATAATGGATTCCAGGAGTGTAAATGTACAAACCCTGATTATAAGTTGCCATTTTGGCATGTTTTAATTTTTAGATGGCTTCAATCAAGGAAGAGTAATTGGCAGATTGATGTACGGTATTTTCACGACCATAAGGCGCACCATACTAAAAGGCGCAGTCTCTGTTATGTGTACCATTACTGTATTTAACACACATAAGCGGGAGCAAAACTGAGTATGTTTGTGCTTTATTCATGTATTTATTACAAAGTATTAATCAAACCCATCAAAGTCATCATCCTCTGTTTCTGAATTAAACAGCTGCGCTAAATCAGACATGCCAATTTCCCCTTCTTCGCTGTCAGAGTCACTTTCCGTGCCGTACGGCTCCTCGGAAATGATGCCGGCTTTTGCGAAAGCTCGAACAACAGAGCCAGCAGACACGTTAGCATCAACAATCCATCCGCAAACTGTGGCGTAACTTGCCCGGCGCTGCATTCCACTTTTCCTATAACTGTGGTCTTCGTCAGTCATCCATCGCTCCCACGCCGCTCGCAGCCTTACTTTGAACGGCCGGTTCACACCGATGTCGAGCGGTTGAAGTTCCTTTGTTAGACCTCCCGCGGCTGCTCGATTTCCATGTTCCTCTGTGTAGCTGATAGCCTTCAGTTTAAACTGTGCTTCATAGGCGTGTCTCTTTGCCATTTTCTGGGTTGTTAAGACAACAATGTTCTGCATAAAGCACATGCCTGTTCTTTTATACACAATCCACACCCACACTTCCCCCTTTAACGTTCTCATGGCGGTCTCAACAACGTCCGCAGTAACAACGCACATAGGGCGCACCGCACTATAGGGCGCGCCGCACAGTTTGAGGGGGAAAAAAAGTAGTTTATTTGCGCCTTATAGTCGTGAAAATACGGTATTAATGAATGAATGTAAGCCAGCATGGCAAACGCTTGTAAAGATGCATAAACTAACAAACAATTCAAAATAGTCCTTATTAAAAAGATTTTGTCATTTCAGCTGTATTAAATACTTACTGTATAAAATGTTTTCTTACAATATTACATTTGTATATAAGGTACAGAAAACATGTTAATACAATAAAAATAATTTAAATAAAAAAGACTGCTTTAACTGCAGCACTTTTAAACGACTGGCTCTGGTTGCTCTCAGAGGAATCTTTGCTCCATGTTGGTAATCTTTTTCTTTATATTTTTGGGTTTTAAGTCCATTTTTCTATCTCCACATCCTCACCTTCAGAGCTCAGTAGAGAAGCTTCGCTGCTCCCCCATGCAGCCATTTAGCTTAAAATAGAGTTTATCCAGTGTTTCTGTTTACAAACAGAACCATTTAAAGTTCATACTGCATTGTTGTCACGGTGTTGATGATTCCAGTCCAGACTCTTGATCAAAGCATTTCTTTGCACTGGCATTACTTACCTTCTAAATAAATAAGGCTTCACTTAAGAGTAATGATGGCGCCCTCTAGTGGACAAAGGCAAAACATTACAACACTGAAGGACATTCTTTAATCAATTGAGTTGATTAAAGCTGCAGTCTGTAACATTGAGAAGAGAGCAGACTTCGACTGAAAATTTGAAGAAAAACAGGTTTCACGCCACTCCCCCACCCTCTCTGCTTCACTCATGCCCCACCTCCAAGCTCCACCCCTCTCACAGCACCTGCGCGGCTACCGCATGCGACCAGAAGCGTCCAAGCAGCGTACGCGGCAGCTCTTCAATTGACATCTTCTTTTTTTGAAGTCTTTGCCGTGTAAGCAGTTGTCGGCAGGGGCAGTAAGGGCAGTTTCTCTTTCGCTGGTGGCTGTCGCTCCGCCATGACTGCCACGCGCGTCCTCCTGACTGCGGCAGCCGGGCGGCAGCGGCAGGTTCAGCGGTGAGAGGGAGGGGGCGTGATTCAGCGTGTGTGAGCTGTGATTGACACTCCATCAGACTCTCCTCTGGCTGTGATTGGTTGTTTTGTCTCGTCCCGAAATATTCTTTCCAGATTGAAATACAGGCAGTATGCGGGACCAATTGAAGCAGTTTTTTTCACAGGTTACATATCACATGTACTGCTGTCTGGGCATAGGGACAGTTTTAGCCAATATGACAAAAAAGTGATTTTTAAAAACTTACAGACTTCAGCTTTAAACAAATTTTTATCTAATTGACAATCGTGAGCTGATTATTTGGTTAACATCTGTAGGTAGTATGTTTCAGACCGGTTTGCTAGCTGATCAATCACAATAACACTGTGGTCACTGAATTAGCTTATAGCGCCTTTAATTCTTTTTGTTTTGTTTTGTTTTTTTAAGGTGAGTTTGCTATTAAAAAGGGCAGCCCCATTTTGTGGTTCCATTCCACTTTGTTTATGTTCTGCTCAGCTTGTTAATTTTTCAACATAAAAAAAAAACGTCCTAAAGACTTGCAGCCTTGCACACCTTAGATTATTTTGCTAAACCAGGAATCTAAAGAGATTCTTAGTCTGTAACATACCTTAATAAACAAGTTTGAGCTTAAAAAAATCTTAAAGTGTGTTTTTAAATGGCTAAAATGATTAAAAATTAAATCCATTGCTCAGAATTGTCCCTTAAAGGCAATCTGAGTATAGCGTCTTCAAGGGTCTCTTGTCTTATATGCAAAATAAATACTTTATTTTTGTAAAGTTTTGACCTGATTGGGTTTTCAGTTTATTTTTGAAGAGTCTGTGCACTTTGATTATATTATTCAATCACTGAATACATTGCAGTATAATCCAATCGATAGTTTATTACTAAACACTATTATAAGGTACAACCAGTAGAATCAAGAGCTGACTCTCTGTACGGCTCCTCTCTAAAAATCGTACATCTTTGCAGAGCTCCGTCAGAGCAGCCAGCAGCAGGCAAGCGACCGGCCGTACCAGCAGACTCTGAGGTCTACAAGATGCTCCAGGAGAACCAAGAGTCTGATGAGCCCCCCCGACAATCGGCTTCCTTCAAGGTCCTTCAGGAGATTCTAGAGACGGGTAGGGATTCAGTTTACTGGGATAGAAAAGATGTCATTTAAAACACCCGCTGCTGAATTAGGAGCAGCATAATGATAGAAGCTGTACTGGATGCATAAATCAAATGTTTTCTGTTTGTAGGTGACTCAGATAAACCATCAGGCTTCAGGAGTGTGAAAGCTCCGACTACAAAGATCGGATCTTCTGTGGGGAACGCAGAGAAGCTGCCAGTCTGTGACAAATGTGGTTCTGGGATTGTGTAAGTTTTTGTTTACTTTTACAGACAGATTATTTGCATGCTTCTTAGTGGTGACCCAGAGCTTTGAGGAAAATCAACTGGAAATCACGGCCCAGTCAGGTACAGTTGTGCATTAATGTTGATGATGCAACAACACGCTCTTAAATCTCGGCTTTGCATATAAATTGCAATATAAATTTACAGCTGCAGACACTAATCAAGCCGGTCTTCTGTGAACTTTGTCTCCACCTTGTGGCTTCATGCTGTTAGAAGTAGGAGCTCCGTTTTTTCTTTTTTTGTAAAGTTCTTAAATGGTGGTTTTTACCAAATGAAATTCTTTTTTTGTTTCTTTTCTCTTTTTTGCTTCTATATAGAAATTATTTGAAAATAATCATCTTTACACAAAATCAATTTAGCCCTGTATTCCTAAAAACTTGGCGCAAAGTGATGGAGTTTAAATTGGAGATCAAAGATGAACAGATTTAGGTTGGAAAAAAAAGCTGTGACCTGCCGTTACAGACCTTAGGAAGGTCTGATTGAACCACATTATTGACTGATTGATTGCTGAGGTATAAGAAATCCTCCCTGTAGGCAAGGGAACGTGAGGACAAGATCCTGAGAGGCTGAAGGTTTTTGTTGGATGTTTTGCAGTCAAATGGGCGACTAAAATACCTCTAAATGAGACAGAATCTACATTAATGATCATTCATTTTCATCATTGAATAATAAACTGTTTTTGTTAACAGAGTTGAGTATCAACCAGGCATCATCAACTTTATATTCCTTTAATCAGAGGTGGTGAGTGTAGCCAAAAATTGTACAAATTCAACCTATTTTTACTCAATGGAAATTAAAAAGTACAGTGCAGTCTTTATTAGAAAATAAACAACTCTGCTCAGGGACACTGAGGTTTCTTACATTGACAAAATGTTCTTCGGATCTCGTAAAGTGTCACTCAGCATGTGCAACAAAGCATTAAAATGTCACAAGCGTCACTTATCAACTCTAGCCCAGGCCTGGGGGGAGAGAGCTCAATATCAAGATGACTGATGAAATGTGGAGTAAGGTATTTGGAACTCTGCCAGAAAAATTACTATTCATAATCGCTCCTGGGCGTTGCAACTTAAACTACTACATGGAGCTCACCTGGTCCCAAAACGGAGGTCTAAGTTTAAACCAGGGTCCTCTTCATTGCACCCTAAATGCAAAACACATAAAGGCAGCTGAAACTGGCTGTTTCTTAATTTACTAGAACCTGAGTATGGACTCATGTCCTCGCCAATAATGTTCTTGAGGAAAAACACAGGAAAGTCTGGAGTGGGGAGAACGGGAGTACGCTGCATTAATATGGGTCAGTTGGAGCAGAAGCGAACTTGTGATGTCACCGCACGCTCGGCTCATCTGCAGGTCATTTCACCTCCTGTTATTAATAGTCTCTAGATAAAAGTACATTCTCATTTCATTATTATTCCTCTAATAAATGAAAACAGTCAGATAAACACTTTGCCAAATAAAACAAAAAACTCGCCATCAGAGCCAGCGGTCCTTCACACACGCTGCTCCAGATGGCTCACGTTAGCCCTGCCTGCCGTTACCCTCAGAGCTCCATTGGTCAACTTCTGAACTTTAAAAAAAAAATTAATGCATATTATATCAGTAAATGGGCCATATAGTGACGCTTTAAAGTTGCTCTCGCCTGAAATGATCTTAAAACTTACTACTCTGTGAGTGCTTCATTGAAAGCTGCTGCCGCCGCAGTGCATGCTGGGACAGCTGTCAATCTCAAGAACAGACAAGTCTGCTCTGATGCATGCTGGGTAAATGGGGAGGGGCAAGAACAACATCCAGGTACTTTGTCTGTTCTCGGTCTGTTCTTGTGAATTGCAGCAGTACTAAGGCTGAGGATGATGATGTTTCAGAGTACATGAGAACACACATGAATTTAATCATCTCACGCATGCCCTCTACGATCTCCAAGGAACTCAGAGCGGACGGGAGCCACAGCGGAGGCTGTAGGCTTTGCTTTACCCAGGCGGTCTGGTGCGCAGCGGGGCAGATTTCGGGGTTAGCCTGACATGTTGGTCGTGTTGCTGTTAGCATAAACAAAACGTGTTGCACAATTCTTGCACACTGTTGCACTTTTATCGACAACTTTCTTTCCGCCGTCATCATAGGTCACTCTAAATGCAAAGCGGGTCCCATACAGCAGACCTATAAAGTGCTGCTGGCGCGTCTTCCAACTCCTGTTCTTTCCCACTCGCCATACCCACACAATTCTCCACAACAACTGATTTTTTTCTGCAACACCCGGCTACGCTGCTTCGCTTCTTCTTCTTCTTCTTGTTTACTACTGGTGGTTGGCTTTGGTCACAGTACCGCCACCTTCTGCTCTGGAGTGTAAACTCTTCCCCTGTGAGAAAAAGGAGCAGCGCATGAACCGAACTCAACACACGCGAACCGAACCGAGACAGTCGAACCGAACGGTTCGGACGGTTTTCATAAACCGTTCCATCCCTTGTCCAGATATATTGGGAATCTATTCTGGTGGAGACTAGGAAAAATATTAAAACTAATATTAATCTCGATCCAGATTCTCTTCTCCTTGTTCTACCAAATAATCATATCCAAAATCAAAACAAGATTTATAATGTCCTAATATTCTGTGGTCGAAAGAATATTTGGTTACATTTGATTTCCAATCTATTTTTGTGTGGATGAAGCTTATTTTGGAATAAATCCCTCTTGAATTTCTAACATGCCTAGTCCACTCGAAGACTGACCCTTTCAGACGCATATGGAAGCCCTTCTTGGACTATGCTAAGGGACATGTGTCTACCATCCTGTCTTGAGTTTTTATAAATGCTTAGATTTGGACTCTGTAATGATAGAAGTACATATCTTTTAGGGTTGTCAAAAGTATCGATACTCAAAAAAGTATTGATACTGAAACGTATGCGGATACAATACTCATTTTCAAAAGTATTGATACAGTGCTACCACCAGTGGCACCTAAACAGTCATTCATCTAAAGTGCAGAATAGAGGAAAATGCACTTTCAGAACACTGTGTGATTGAATAATTCTGTGCACTTTTCAGTTTTACAATTTTTTTGTAACAGTTGCAGCTGCTGAATATTATTTTTGTTTCTTAACCGGTTTGGCTAGTGTCATTGTGTGTGCAAAGCATAGCCAAGTAAGGAACACTTAATTTTAATTTTGTAAATTTTTTTATCAAGCTTGCTTAATATTGTGCACAGCAAACAACCTCAAAATATTGTTCTTATTGTATTTATTTATTGTATTTTAATTATTAATCAAAATATTTATGTTGAAATTTGGAGTTTTTATTCTTGTGGTTTTAAAAAATGGTATCGAATATTTTCCTTAGTATCGGTATCGAGTTGAAAAGTTTAGTATGGTGACAACCCTAATATCTATTTATATTTTCTTTACATCGCCCCTGGGCTGCACTACTGAGCTAGTTTTCTTTTTTATGATGTTGTTGTTAAATAAAAATTAATAAACATCTATAAAAATAAAACAAAGTACAGTGCAGCAAAATTGACTCCTTTAGGTGCATTTTGTTTAAAAATGTATTTGAGTAATTGGAGGTGAGTAAATCTTAACTAGTTACTCCCCCCCTCAGCCTTTGAAAAGCTCCTGTGTGGCAACATGAAGTAGGCAGATGGATCTACAAAAAGCAGCTCAACTTCTGCTCAAAATAAAAAAAAACTCATAATTCTGATTTATTTTTCACCCTAAACAAATATCAACACCATAAAATCCTCTGAACATATTTGATTTGTGTTTCTTTGTTTATTTTTCTTCAGTTGGATTCTGGGGAGAATTGATTTCTAAAATTGGATTCATTTTTTTCCTCTGTATGCTGCTTTGAAAAGTTTACTTTAAGCCGTCTGTGTTTACAGCCTGTGACAAACTGGCCTCTCTACATTCCTGTTTGCTCATTTCTGATCAGTGTTTAAATGGGTGTCTGTGTTCTCTCTGCAGGGGCATGTTGGTGAAGCTGAGGGACAAGTTCCGCCACCCTGAGTGCTACACCTGCACAGACTGCGACGTCAACCTAAAACAGAAGGGACATTTCTTCGTGGAGGACCAGATTTACTGCGAGACGCACGCACGAGAGCGGGTCACTCCGCCCGAGGGCTACGACGTAGTCACAGTCTTCCCCAAGTAGAGCGTTTATCCCGGCCTGGCCTCGGACTGCACACTGCTTTACGGTTTGCTTCAAACGCGTGCTTCTGAGACTATTAAGCGGACCTCCGCTTCGTTACGTTTCAGCGCTGTCACAGGTATGCAGAAAGGAAAGAGCTTTGTATGTACAAAAGTTGATTTGCACATGAATTTTGGCCACAGGATCTTTTTTTTTTCCTTTCTTTGAAACATAATCAAATCGTCTTACTGCCAACCACTGTTTCACTCCGGCTTTTCTCTGTCGTTTTTTTTTTTTTCCTAAATCATAAAACAAATGTCAGTCAGCTTGGATGAAACTTGCCTTTTATACAATTCAGAAATATTTTTATACACCAGAATAGCCAAAAGCGTAATAGAACATGATTGCCAAATAAATATTTTCGCTTTAATCGGTTGATAGTGCTTTGTGGTTATTGTGTATATGTATAAATGCAGACTGTAGTTCAACAGTATTAAATTTCAATACGACCAAACTGCCTTGTTCTGTCGACACATTCCTCATACTTGTACTTTTTGTATAAACATCCAATGAAACATCCCTTCCAGTCATAAAACCAGCAGCCCTGTGAGATGCAGAAGGTATATTTAATGTTTTTGGTTTTCTGAGATGGAATATCTGAGTCTGGAATTTTGTCAAAGGATCCTCAACCCTGGAGAAGCATTCGGAGGGGGAGAGAACAAGGAAATATTAATTTTCTGACTTTATTTTCTGTTTTATCTAAACACTGCAGTCCTTACCCATTCATGCACAGTCTGTCCATCTTTCTCTACCATCTATCCACCTGTCTGTTTCTCATACACTGTCTGTTAATACATCAATGCTTCCATCCAAAACTGCTTTTTTTCCCCCCATGATCCAAGTTTGCAGTTTAGTATAGGCCCGCTTAAGATTCAATTGTTTATATTGACTGAAAAAATGGGGTAAAAAGTCCATTCTGGTGAGTTGAGTCTCTAGAATAGTTTTAAATGTGTAGGAAACCTGATCTCATCTAATTCTTTTTGACTTTGAAATCATTTTCATTCAAAACTTCCACTTAGCCACACATGGAAAGGAAAAAAAAGATGGATGCTTTCAACCGCAAACATTGAACCAGCATATTGAGGTTAAGTATATCTGCAGCACCATTTTAAACTTGCATCAATGCGGAGAAGCATGTCTGAGGTCCAGGTTCTGCTGAATAAAGAAATGTATAAAAGAATTTTCCTGATTAATACTTGGAGCTCTTGCTGATCTGGTTATTTAGCCTTATCACCTACAACAATCAAATGAGCCGTAGATTGTATGAAAAGATTAGATCAATGGAATTTTCATGGATTTTTAAGATCAATCTGACAAAACCACTGAGGAGCTCCAACTGCCTGGAAACAATATTGCAAAGTAACTTTTTTTTTAGTGCTATTTCTCTACATGTGGGTCTGGAATTGACCACTAGTGATTTATTTTATATATCCACTCCTCCACCTAAGTAATGGTAATCCAGTCTGTTGCAGCTCTTTCTAAGCAAAGCAGAAGAAAACGGTTAATTTACAAACTGGTTTAGATTTCAGGATCAGATTAATCCTTTAAGAGGTTAAATCAGTCAGAAACGGCTTGTTTAGCAGGTGATCTGATCTGTTGTCGAAATGTTTCATTAACTGTTTTTTTTCCAGAAATAAAATGTTTTTATATTTCACTGCCAAAAAAGAAAATATGAGAATAACTGAATAAAATGAATAAATCTTTGACAAGACTTTTTTGCATCAATTGCATCAATATTTCTTATGAAAATGTATTTAGCTTCTACTGAGATTCTAGTTTGAATGTTTCGGAATAAAAAAATGAGACTTTGCTCTGGGTTTGCCATAGCAGCATCAGAAATCATGAATACATCTCCCAATAATCGCATCAAACTGTTTCATTTTCTCCATGCAAATATTTATAAGTTCAACATCTTAAAAAGGCATTACTGTTGTTTTTTTTTTCACATTAAAAACGGCTTACATTAAAAACTCAGGAAAAGCACTGCTGTGTAATAAATGGTTTTCCTCCTCAGGACTTTACAAAACAATGCAATAGAGTACTAAAATGTGTGCAAGCAATTTGTGTTTGGCTCCATACCATCACACGAGGGTCAGCTGGCATTAGTGAACACCTTGGTGGATGAACGCCTGTGGAATGTGGCCTGATTGTATTTCATTACAGTGGAATTAATCACAAAAAAAAAAAAATGGATGACAAATGACAAAATGTTTTTTTTTTGTATGCTTATCCCAAGCGGGTCACAAGGGCTGCTGGTCAGGGGTGAAGCTAGATGGGGGGCGGCCATGGCCACCCTTAGTCAATCATTGGCCACCCCTACCTTTTTTCCCCCTCTAATATAGTTGGTGGCAGCAGAAATACTCTCAAGTGGAATATTCAAACCTTAAAAAAATAATAATAATTTAATTCATATATTACCAATTACTTGACAACAAAAACACTGGTTAATTCTGCACATCAATATATTAACATTACAAGAATTCCTGCTGTTTTCAGAACTAGATTTTGTGTTTTACGGGTAAAGAGAAAATTGTGTCTCTGCAAGTCATCTAGGAGTCTTCAGTGAAATCATAGTTTAATAAAAACGTATTAAATAATCAATTTATGTAGATATTCGTACCTGTAAATATCAGTTTTATGCAGAATGATTATTGATAAAAGTAGGTAAGTAATGACAATGGAAAAGATGTTCGCCCAAAACTCAAACCTGAAAGAATTTTTATTTTCCACCTTTTATCTGAAAGCATGGATGTTTAATTATATGCATTTATAGGAAAGACTGTGGGGAAGTATAATTTGTCTTTATTTAGAAAATATGGATGTTTTGCTGCTTTATTTTCCTGTAGTGTAGATTGAACGTGAGATTCTGGTGCCAATCCACTTTCGGCCACCCGTATGTTGGTTATTGCCTGGCCACCTTTATAAAAGTTTTCTGGCTACGCCTCTGGTGCTAGTGCCTATCTCCAGCTGTCTATGTGCTAGAGGCAGGGGTCCACCCTGGACAGGTCGCCAGTCCATCCCAGGGCAACGCAGAGAAAAACAACCGTTCATGCACACACTCACACCTAAGGAGAATTTAGAGAAACAATTTAATCTAACAGTCATTATTTTTTTTTACTGTGGAAGCCAGAGTACCCGGAGGGAACCTATGCACAAACAGGGAGAACATGCAATCTCCATGCAGAAAGACCCCAGGGCTGGGAGTTGAACCCTAAACCTTCTTTTTTGCAAGGCAGCAGTGCTACCCACTGCACAACAGAGCAGCCCATTTACAGATTTCAATTTTTTTTTATTGCTAGCTCTGCACTATTTCTGCAGGTGCAGGAATAGGGATAGAGGTCTGTCTGCCTGGAAGGGGTCAGTCTGGGTGAAGCTAGCATGCGATGAAGAGGTTCTGCACAGAACATAATTGGGAAAATTATCTTAATAGAAAACATCAACCAGATCAGGAATTTTTGTAACTTCTTAACTGGAACTACTCTGAGGATGAGTCATTGAGAGCAAATCAGCAGCACCACATGCAACATAATCTTACTTATCAACCAGAAGAAAAAAAACAATAATAATAAATAATAACAAAGTACTTAATATATAAAATATGAGTAAAAAGGCAAAAAACAAATATCCTGAAAATGATCATCAGTTCCTCCTTCCCTTCTGAAAACAAAATTGCTCCAAAGGTGGCATTAGAAGTAGGTTTGATGTTACCAAGAGTTTCTGATATCATTCTCCCCATGGAGCGACCTGAAATAAATAGTAATGGGAATAAAAGTGTGTGGATCTCTGATGAGGGGTTTACAGCTCAGTTCCTCAGCAGGGGCCCCGCACCAGTACTCTGTGGGGGATACAGAGTCCCGCTCAAAAGAGGAGACGCTCCCCGGGCTGCTCAGCTCAGGCGCTGCGCAGTGAGGGTGATGCTCCTCCATGCGCAATGTCTCCGTCAGAGCCCAGATGTAGTTACGGGCGAAGCGCAGCGTTTCTATCTTGGTGAGCTTCGCGTCTTCTGGCAGCGCCGGCAGGATGTTCCTCAGCGCGTCCAGAGCGGAGTTCAGGTTGTGCATCCGGTGTCGCTCCCGGTCGTTGGCCTTCATCCTGCGCCTGCCGCGCTGTCCGATGCGCTCACCGCCGGGTTTAGGCGCTTCTCTGTCATTCATCCTCTGTTGCCGACCCCGCATGTTTTCGCTGAAGTCTCCAGATGCGCCTCCAGTCTGCTGGAGCTGGTTGGAGAGGGTTGGAGAAAAGCTGCAGAACGTGCGCATCTCATTCCTCAGTCTGGAAGACATCCTGCGCGCAGGAGCACACCGTTTAATTAACATCACTCCATGAAAGTAACACGCACAAAAACATTTGGGCTGTCCTGGAGGTAATTAAACATTAAAATAATTATAGATTTGTTTTGTCTGATCTAATAAAATTCAAATAAAAAACCGACCTGTGTGGATCTGTTTGCTCTGACTCCTGCAGGCAGGTGAAGATTGAATGAAGAGACAGAGCGCCGTCCTCTCCTGTCGCTGAAGGCGTCAGACTCTGTATATGTGCAGCTGACAGTGAGGGATGGATGCGCATCTTTGTCATTTTATAGAGCCTTTATCTTATCTTTTTTCACGGTGGACGCCTGAATCAACAGCGCCCGTTAAGTGGCCAATCAGCGTCCAAGCAGAGAGTCCCCCCTGCACTCTTCCTCCATACCCCCCATTCTTTACTGCTTTATAATATGCATTCAGGAGGATGTATGTTATCCTAGAAGCATAAGTGATTACAGGTTGGAAAAGGTCCGATTTCTACCTTATTTTGAAGGGAAATTACCAATTTTTAACACTTTGAGACCTGGTTTAAAAATAAAGGCTGTTTTGCACAATTTTATTAATAGTTTAGTTTAGTTTTAGGTGATCATAGATTTTAGTGATAGCAGATGTGCTGCATCTGATGTTAAATATCAGAGGGTTCATGCATGTTTCCGATGCCAGAAGCATCAAAATTCAAACTCCAGGAATTCTTTTGAGGGATCTGAATTAGATATTTGAGCATTTAATTCCAATTATTCTGATTGTTTCCATGTCAGCAGTATTCAAAATGAAATAAACAGATTATTTGAATAATCAATCATTTTCCACATTGATATAAATTCGGTTCTTATCTTTTTTTTAAGACTTCTGAAGAAATTATCATGTTTGCTAACTACAAATGTATCCATAGACTTATTTTAGTGTTGTTTATTTTTGATTAGCTTTAAATAGATATTAATATGTATTAAAAGTGTTCAATTTGAACCCTATTTATCGTTTTATTACTAATCATTGGTTTACACTAGGTTTTTTTATTTATTAAGAAGACTTGTTTTCTTTTTCTTTTTTATTAGTTTTGCCTTCAGGTTTGCCACTGTTGCACATGTCCAGAGACAGCAGAACAATATGTCTTATGATAAACTTTGATACTAATGCTAAAATGTTTAGG